TTTTATCAAAATTGGATAGATTGATCAAAATTCCTGCAATTTGGGTGGAAACATCTGGAAAATATGTTTCTTTGAAGGTTGAAGGTCAAACACAAGGCTAATACAAAACAAGAATGTTAGTTTACCAGCCAAAACCTTTCAAAGTTCAAACTCAATTAAATAAATAAGCAATATATTCAGCATCTTCCTATTCTTTCTTTTCATCGGTTACGTAAATAAATCCAATTCCTTTTATAATAGTAATATTGAATTATACACATTTTACGTTTTTTAATGTATATTTTAAAATAGACATTAATAAAAAAAATATAACATCACTCTTAATTATAATGTGATGTAATTCCTCAACAAAAAGTAAAGTAAACGGATGAAAGTTTTGGTTTTGTTTTCTCTAGCTTGCTTGTTTTCTTTTGTAAGAGGAAATGGAAATTGACCACCAAGAAATCTTACATTAGCCATTATTGAAACCAATATTTATTGTCTTTTTCTTTCTTGTAAAAACTGTTTTTAGTTTCTTATTTAATAATTTATGGGGCCTACGTTGTCTTCCAAAACTTTATAACTATTTAGCCTTTTTTAATCGTATCTTTATCTTTATATATATATATATATATATATATATATATATATATATATATATATATATATAAGTAGATGAGTTTTGAAGAAAATTTTGTAATGTTTTTTAAAGGGGAATTTGCTTTCACTCTTTAACAATAATCTTTATATTAATTATATATTATTAATAATTAATTACTATTTAAGGTCATCTTAAATGGTTTAATTTAAATCAGTTAAATCTATTTATTTTTATTTTTAATTAGCAGTTTTAATATATTTTTACCTTTAAGGTTGTTTTGAATGATTTAATTCAAATCACTTAAATACATTAATTTCTAATTAGCAATTTTGTATATGCAAAAAGTCCATTCTTTGCAGTAGATTTAACCTTAATATTAATATTTATTTTAAATTTTAGTATTAAAAATTGATAACTGATAAAATTATAGAAAATCTTTAAACTTTAAATTAAGTTATTATAAAAAAAACAACAAAAAATAAGTAAAAAACTTTTTTAAAGTGAGAAAGATATTGTTTGGTCTATACAAGGGAAGTATTTGTTTAATATTTTTTCTCTTTTATTACTTTATACTAATTAAGGTTATATTATATTGATTTTGTTTTGTAAGAATTAGAGAATTGTTGGCACTTTATGGGAGAAATTTGCTGATCAAATGGTTGATTTTTTAAAGAATGAAAATTCTAATGCTTTACCTACTGTGATTATTTAATTATGTAAAATGAAAATATTTGATGGTATGATTCTTTATCTATATTGAACTCTTTTTAATTGTGTGATAATTATTATTATCAATAAATTATATTTCATGGTTGTTTCATTAACTTTATGCATATTAAATACTGATAATGGGACAAAGTTGTATATCAATCTTAACATAAAAGAAGCTATTGATTATAAGAATAAGTAAATATTTTAATTATTTTTTATTTATAAAGACATCACTATGTTTTGTATAATGTTTCCTATTTTTGTTAATTTATAAGTTAATCCAATTTGTGGTATAAGATGAATATAAATAATGTAAGTATAAGTCAAGTATTAAGTCAGATGTTTGGATACTTTTCTGTTTCAATGAAAGATGATTTGCTCTAAGCTCAATGCATGACCATACATGAAATAATTGAGACAAATTATATATGTTTTGTATTGAAATAATGAAGTGAAATACATATAATTATTTTTAAAATCTATATAAGTCATAATTTGAATTTCGCTTTGAAAAGGTTAGACTTGTTGTTGAACTTGCCAAAGTTATTGAAATTGAATGATGGAATAGTAGAATGAATGAATAAGAATTGATAAATATATATGTATATATATTAACATATTTGTACGTTCTTTTTAACCTTAATATTAACATATAGAATTATTTATGAAAAATAGTAGAATGAATAAATTATAATTAATTAGTTTATATATTTAAAAGGTCATACAACAATGAAACAATAAAAATTAATATTAATTTAGTATTTAAAACTTTAATATTAACATATTAATACGTTTATTCTTGCAAAGTTTATGACAATTTTGAATTTTTATATTAATGATTTACTTTAAATTTTATTATTAAAAATTGCTAATTGATATATGATTAATGAGGAACAATAGATTAAATAAATAAATTTTATTATTACTTTAACTTTTCATATTACTATAGTTGGTACATAACTAAACTAGGTCATATAAATTTAATTAGAAAACTCTTGACTATGTGTACAGTATGCATACATTAAAGGTAAATTATTTCTAAAACTTTTACTCTATGTATATTGCATGTATAAATTATATGTAAACTATTTATAAAAATTATTAAGTTGAAATCAAAATATTATTTTCAAGCTTAAATATCATACATTCTTTTACAATTATCTAATTACAGAGAATTTGTATCGCACGAGTCATATTATGATATAATAATTTATTATTTATTATATTATACTATGACATAATAATTTATCTGTGCATTGCACGTGTCACTTTTCTAGTTTATGAATTTAAAGGTTACATTACCGAGAAACATGTATCACTTTGACTCTGTGACATTATTATGCATGTGCTTAAGATATAATTCACTCACCAGATTCAAATTATAGAATCTAAATATATAATTAAGCCATAATTATATGCTCAATTTTTTTTATTTTAATAGACACGTAAACAACATCAAAAGAAGTAATAAAATAAGAATATATGTAACGTTTATTTTGCATTGAATTTTTTTAAAATAATGTACATTTTTAAAAAATTATCAATTGCAAGAGTTATTATCATAAAATGATTTTTTCACTGAAATATCTTTACTTGAAATGTTGCATTGTTTAAGAAGTGAAGATTTGAAGTGGGATGCCAATAAATGTAGATTATATTAAAAAAAATTATTTTTATATTTTTAAAATAATAAATATTTCAAGATAAACTAGAATAATCAATAAAAAGAATACAATATGAGTTGACATTTGGCAATAGTTAAAACATTTAACAAGAAATAATCTGTAAACCCGCGTGAAGTGACCCAGAAGCGAACTGAGAGAACAAGAGGCGTCTTGAACACGTAACCCCGATAATTAATATTTAAAAAGTTAAATTATTTAGTGTAAATAATAAAACAATATATAATCTTTAAATTCGGTAAAAAAAATATAGTAATGTTTTTTAATCATAAAAATAAATAAATCATGTATTTAGTTATTTTAATATTTTAAATAATTAAATTCTAATAATAAAATAAATTTAAAACTTTCTATCTTAAATTCTAAAAATTGTATTTTTTTAAATAATTTTTTTATAAAAAATAAAATGTGTTTAAAAACAAAAAAATATAAATTATAACAAATTTTAGCTTATTTTTTTAAATATAAATAAGTTAATAGAATAATTTGGTGAAAAATAAAATAAAATCCATAGTATTTAAAATTTAACTTATACAAAGTTATTTAAGTAGTGTTCAATTATAAACTAGGAATATTTTATTTTAGGTTTATTTTAAAATTTTAAATTAATTTATACTCATACAAAATAATTTAATTGTTTTTTATTATTTATCATATTTTAACTAATTATACAATTAATTTTATCAAATATTTTTATTTAATCAGGTAATTATAAGATGTAAATTTTAAAACTACAATTTATAAGTTTTCAATTAATTTTATCATATAAAACCTTAATTAATATTTTAAACAATAAATAAATTTTCCAACTATTTTTTAAATAACTAAAAAATAAACCATCCACTTAATAAAATTAATCTGAAATTTACGTATTAAAAAGTTACTAAAGTACTCGATAGAATGTATGAATAGTTTAAAATATAAGTAAAACATTAAATATTAAAAAATTCAAAAGAGAATAATTAAACGAATCCAATATTTATTTATCAATTTTTATACATCAAGTTCATTTTTTATTTTAAAATTAATTTTAAATGAAAATATTTTAGAAGCATTTAAATGTTAATTATTTTTTATTAATTTAAAATATAGTTTTAATTTTATATTTAACCTATTATACATTTTTAAAACTTGATACACTGTATCAATTTGATGAAACGTTTAAATATTAATACTATTGTAATTTTAGTTTGAATTAAAATTCACATGTTAATAATAAAAACTTTTGTACAAATATTTAAATTATTTAATAAAAAAATATTTTAATTAATGGATTACTGTTTTAAGAATAATTTATAAACGTTTTATAATTTGCCGTGTTAATTCAAGAATCGGAGTATCAAATAGAAGGTAAGGGAATTTTTAAATTAAAATTTGTATAGTACAATAATTCGTAAAATGTGTGTTATAAAATAAACAAAATAAAATTGAAAAATATTAAAATTTTCACACGCCCCAAATCAAATCGTAATGCATGTTAAGTTTATATAATTTTTTTCATTTTATTCTCAAATAATCCTAATCTAAGACACTATGCACTGAACTTACAGAATATTTAAACCAGTATTTTAAATTAAAACTCTATAACATTGGTATTAATCAATACTGTATAGTTATAAAAAAAAGTTAAAATAAAACAAGACAGTCTAAAATATGCTTTATAATACCTCAAATAATTTCTAAGAACAATTTATAGTAATAAAAAATGATATAAAATATTTTTGATGCACACGCATACTTAAAATATTCTCTTAAAAAGAGTAAAAATATATACTTAAAAATGTAAAGAAAAAAAAAAGAAAAGATATTCGTAAAATAAATGGGGTGTGCGTATGGATTTGGATTTAAGCGAAAAATGTGAATTGAAAAAAAGAAATAGGTGGAGAATAAGATGGATGGAAAGGTGGGGGTAATAAGGGAAATATGAGAAGGGACGAGCTGGGAGCTTTGAAAGAGAAGCGGGAGGGCCAGCTCGACAGTATAAAAGCAAGTGCCTCCCACGCCAATTCCTTATCACTCCTATTCTCTGTTACAACACATCCTTTTCTCTTTTTTTCTTCTTTTCAAAAATTAGGGATTCAAATGACACAATAGCCCTTCTTCTCCTCATTTCACCTTTTCTTCTTTCTTCTTCTCGTTTGTTGAACGCCTCTCTCTCTCTCTCTCTGTCTGCTTCTTCACTCTGGTACGCAAATCTCCTCTTTCATTCCCTCTTCTATCTGATCTACGTGTCCAAGCACTTCACCTCCACGCTCCATTCAGTTCATCTTTTATTTTTCGTTTTTTCCTTTTCCTAAACCTTCTAAGATCGACCTCCACAAACAATAAACAAAATCCCGTGTTTTCTGCATTTCTCGTCATTGAAGCCAAGGTTCTCGTTATTTTTCCTTTTCCTTTTTTTTTTTAAATTAATGAGAGCTGGACGCGTGTGTTCCCTGCGAATTTCGACATATTGGAGTTGTGATTTTCGTTACAGATTGCAATGTCTGTTTTTTTTTGCCTTGTTTTTTTTTTTTTAATTTATTTTTGAGGTGCTTTCAGCAGTGGTTTCGTTTCTGCATTTTTTGGTTTGCCATGTTTTCTAGATATCTACTCAGATCTACACCGGCTTTTCCGACGTAGTTGTTGTTATTTGTGTCATTTTTGTTAATTGATTGGTTTTTTTTGCCTGAAGTTTTGGTGATCACTTCGTGTTCTAGATTTTTCCTCCGGAATTTCGCACGTGCTAAAATAATCTTGCTATTTTAGCTGAACTGGAATTTATAACTCCTTTGTTTTTACGACCACTTAAATGGTTGGTTTTCATTTGAGCTTTTTCTCGGGTACAAATCTTTGTTTCCTTTTCCATTTTGTTGGCTATATCATGCTGTTTTTTTAAAATTGTGTTGGCTTAAAAAATGCTTGTGAACTTTTGGGTTCATTCTCCGTGGAATATGAGATTCACAACTGGTTGAACTTCTCAATCGGTAGTTCCAAATGAGATTATGTATAGGGAGGGGTGGGGATAGAAAAGAAAATTCTATGGATCTGTTCTCAAAATTTCAGTTAATGATTTTTTATAGTATTAATTAAAAACAAGTTTGCTTTTGTTTTTGTCTTTTTTTTTTTTTTTTCTCTTTGCTTTTGCCATTAGTATTTGTTATCACGCGCGTGTTAGTGATATAAATGCTGTTATTATTTGATATTTTGGTGAAGTATAGTGATGTTTCCGGTTGATGCATTTTCCATAGGATTCTATAATTTTCCCCCATTTTTGTATTCCCCCCTTTCTGTTGTAATGTGGGAGAGAAAAAAAAATATTTTTTAATAACCCGGTTCAATTTTGCATGCAGCCGCTGTAGAAATACATTATGGTGGCGACAGCTGCTACGTCTTCGTTTTTCCCTGTTACTTCACCCTCGCCGGACTCTGGTGGCAACAAAGCTGGTGGTGGGCGTGCAAACCTTGGGGGACTAAAATCCAAAAGTGGGACTTGCGGTGGCTTGCAAGTTAAGGCAAATGCGCAAGCCCCTCCAAAGATTAATGGAACCACAATTGCGCCATCTGTAGAAAGCTTGAAGCATGAGGATGATTCACCTTCGCCTCCTCCAAGGACTTTTATCAACCAATTACCTGATTGGAGCATGCTTCTTGCTGCCATCACAACAATTTTCTTGGCCGCAGAAAAGCAGTGGATGATGCTTGATTGGAAGCCGAGGCGACCTGACATGCTTATTGACCCCTTTGTTGGCATAGGAAGAATTGTTCAGGATGGTCTTGTGTTCCGTGAAAACTTTTCTATTAGATCATATGAAATTGGTGCCGATCGAACAGCATCTATAGAAACTGTAATGAACCATTTGCAGGTATGTTCGTTTTTGTATAAATGAATCTTTGTTTTATAATAGCCGACCTCACCTACCTAGTGGGATAAGGTTTAGTTGTTATTGTTGTAAATTTTGTTTTATAATCTTAGAAGAGCAGCGTGTTATAACTTGATGGGCTTCTTGTTAATACTTTTCATACTGGATTAATTGTAATTATTTGTTTAACAACAGGAAACTGCACTTAATCACGTTAAGAGTGCTGGGCTTCTTGGTGATGGCTTTGGTTCTACGCCAGAAATGTGCAAAAAGAACTTGATATGGGTAGTTACACGAATGCAGGTTGTGGTTGATCGTTATCCTACGTGGTAAGTGACCCAGATTCACCCATTATATGTGTGATTTACAAATGTGTCCATGTTTAGCTGCTGTTTCTCGGTCTATTTTAGTGATTTTTTTAAGGAATTATACCTCTGAACACACCTGTGGTAATTTTTGAGACTTAATTATTTAAGAAAACTGTAATACTTGTGAAATTCTTCTGGGTGACAATTAATCAGATAAACTTAAGCTTTATGCATGATGAACTATGGGAAGCTTTACGTGTGATAGAGCTGTTGATCTGTTCATGAGATGTAGTAATGTATTGATTACATATTAGATATGGCGACTTAACCTTGTTTTAATTATTGTAAAACTAATCAGCTGATACTATGTGTACTGTGCATCTGTTTTCTTACAGTTACCAGTTATACACCCCCTATTCTGTTTCAGAATTATATGTTTAAGGTTTTCAATTATTTTGGCTTCTTGGTGTTGGGTTGAAGTTAGATAAACTATTTGTGACTATGGATATTCTGTATCTCATTATCTGAAATTGAGTATCTGTATTTGCTTCAGGGGTGACATTGTTCAAGTAGACACTTGGGTTTCTGCATCAGGAAAGAATGGCATGCGTCGAGATTGGGTTTTACGGGACAGCAAAACTGGTGAAATCTTGACAAGAGCTTCCAGGTAGAAGTCATTTCTGGAATTTTCTTTTCCCTCTGCTTCCAACTACAAATTTTAAGGTGTTTCTGAATGTGCATGATTGGTGATTGGGTGCAATTATGAATCTTTTAAACTTACAAAGTTATTGAAACATTTGTTTTTCTTAAGACTTGAATTTGACGTAATCACTTGCATTTGGCAATGTTACAAAAGACAATGAACTACATATTTAAGTGTAATAATGTATCATATTTTGCAGGTGACAACATCTGAGTGTAAGAACAGAACATCAATGTGTCTTCTTAGTCTATTATTAAGTACAAGACTTTATCTTGTACACATGCATCACCTTGGAGCTAGTAGTTTATAACATATAAGCATTTTCTGAATCGTTTGTGATGGTTTTGATGATCTACAGTGTTTGGGTTATGATGAATAAGCTGACAAGGAGGCTGTCTAAAATTCCAGAAGAAGTCAGAGAGGAGATAACATCTTATTTTGTGGATTCTGACCCAATTCTGGAAGAGGATAGCAGAAAACTGCCTAAACTTGACGACAATACTGCAGATTATATTCGAACTGGTTTAAGTGTATGCCAACTAGTTTTTCATAATTGCTGTCATTGATTTATTTTCTCAAATTATTTCAGATTCTGTTTTCTAATTAGGTTGCATAATGTATCTTAAATTTTCCAGCCCAGATGGAGTGATCTGGATATCAATCAGCATGTTAACAATGTGAAGTACATTGGCTGGATTCTGGAGGTAGTTTTCTATTCTTGTACTCTTATCAAATCCAATCCTTGTTTTCTCTATTCTCTCTCTTTCTTTGTTGGGCACATCTCTTGTGTCACAAGCTTAGGAGTCTTCCATTCAAAATGTGAAAGGCCAAATGAAATTCTGGGTGGAATTGTTAGTGGAATTTGTCATCTGATCAGAATCGGTCCTTCGGAGGTGGAGTTGTGCTACTCAGACACCAATTTTCTAGCAAAAGAACCCTGCTATTTGGTCTGTTGGGTCTGGAGTCGATCTAATCAATTGTCTGTGGAGTGTTCTGTTTTGTAAGGGAATTAGGCATGCGATTGTCATTACTTTTTCAGGTTTATGAAAATGACTGATAAGATAGTTGAAGTCATTTTAAGATAAAATATTCAATTTGGTTTAGTGTTTAGGGAGGCTATGAACACATTATAATGGCTTGAAAATTGAAATATGATACAGTTGACTACTAACATACAGTACTTGAAAGAAGTAAAGAACACAGAACATTGACCAACAGGGTGTGATGTTTGATCTTGTGCAAATCATTTATGTTCTCCTTTTTATTAATTCATAATTGTTGATTCATTCTCGGAGATAAAAAGCCCGGTATGTTCAATTGTTTGTTTGTTATGCATGGGGTTGATCGGATCAGGCCTCTTAACCAAAGGACTTTGCTTCCGATTGTTTCAGAGTGCTCCACAGCCAATTTTGGAGAGTCACGAGCTTTCTTCCATGACTTTGGAGTATAGGAGGGAGTGTGGCAGGGACAGTGTGCTGCATTCCTTGACTGCTGTATCTGGTGCCGACATTGGCGATCTAGCTCACAGTGGACATGTTGAGTGCAAGCATTTGCTTCGACTTGAAGATGGTGCTGAAATTGTGAGGGGCAGGACTGAGTGGAGGCCAAAATCTATGAACAACTTCGGTATTGTTAATCAGGTTCCAGCTGAAAGCACCTGAGGTTTTGAATGGTTAACGGTGGGAGTTGCATCAGCCTCCTTGGTGTGTTTAAACTGGTTCTGGCCTCTGGGAGTTTTGCTTGTGTTTGTCCAATCTACATGTCTTATATATATATATATATATACCTTCTAATTTGTGTTAACTTTGGTGGGTAAGGGGGAAAAGTAGCAGTAAATCTCATTCTCATTGTAATTAGCTCCTGTTCTACTGTCTCGCTGCTCCATATTTCATTTCATTTCATTTCTGATTGCGCTACTGCTAGGCTGTCTTCAATATTTAATTGTTTGATCAAAATGGCTAGGCATGTATATTATTATTCTTGGCCCATTTAAAGATGCATTTTTCCTTATGAACACAGCATAATTATTTTTCATGTATAGCCTGTATGCAAGAATGACTTATCCGTCCAATACAACTGTGATTGTGTGCTCCAGCTTGTACTTATGCCATCGTCCCACATGGGAATTATTGGGCGCAAAACAATCCTTCTCCTTCAAGCTTGTTATAATAATGCATATTATCTTAAGTTTATGGTTGAGGCGGATATGTGGGGGCCTTACATGTGCTATCCTACTTATTTGTCTACTCAACATTTTGTTAGGACCTATGATTGGGCTCTCGCCACTCGTAGCTATTAAAACCCTACTGTTTTAAAAGGTTGAAATTCCCTGCGCCTTGATCCATGCAGTAAGTTCCTGTTCAATTTGGTTCTTTTAATTGAGACGTGTATTGCAGAAAAAAATTATTTTTTATTTAAAATTTAAGGTATGTTTGAATATTTATAATTTGTTATGTGTTAATGATTTTTTTTTTTAATTAAGACATAATATCGACCTCAAGTAGTATTTTTTTTTATTGAGAATGAAAATATTTGCAAATCCACGAATAAGATTATTTTATTAAAAGCTTCTAACATGATAAGTTGTGCATTAGGAATCTTAAAATCAAAGCTTTAACGAAGTTATAAAAGAGTAATTTTTGTTGGTTTTGGACTTCTCAAATTGCTGAATCAGACATGCATCTTGTAGTCGCTCTTACCTGATTAAAAACATTTAAAAAATTATAAAAAAATTATCAATAATAATTTTCAACCAATAATATTTTATCTGTAATCTTTTAAAATACAAAAAAGTAGGCATTTGTGGGAAATAATGTTTGAGAATGAACAGAGCACTGAATTTTAGAAGGGTACGTGTATATACAGGGGTTCCTGAGTGACACGAAAAGAGAAAAAGAAAAAGTAAATGAGGACCCTGGGTGGGTGGCTAACTGCAATAGGAAAAGTCATTTTAGGAACTGCGTGTGCGTGGCGTTGCGGGGTCAGTAAATTTCTCTTTCAATGTTAACTCTCATACTGTGGATCCGATCGTGATTTCTGATTTGAAACTACTTCTCAGGCACTGCCCCCAGACCTTCAAAACTGTACGTGGCTTTTCATTCACCGCAAATATTCATTTTCTGCACTTACATTCATTCATACTCTATAATTAAATACCAATTAAAAACTGGGATTTGCATTGCAATGCTCAAACTCCCCTCAATGCCATTACTTAGCATACTTTCATGCAAGTGCCACCCATGTGTTTTGGATATCAATTTCCATGCCTTGATTTTTGTGATCCACAAGTTTTTATGCAAAGTCCCAGCTGTTCTGCTCTTTTCAATTTTTGATTCCTCTTGCTATCCGTAAGTGGAATATGCCTCACCACAAAAATAGATCTATTAAATTATCCAAAGACTTTATCCAGATAAAGATGCACCGTTATAATTTAATTTGAATATGATTTTTTTGTTCGCCTAAATAAAAAACAATTAGCGATAAAGATGGGAAATGCACGTTTATATTTTAAATAATATTAGTTTTTTTTTTTATAGATAATAGTAATTAGAAACTCTTAGGTTTGACTTTTCAGCGTAAATTGGCACGAGTTTTAAAAATTATTTAGTTAAGACTGTATAATATTTTAAAAATATTTTTTTTATTTAAATACATGCAATACGGTAGGTAATTTTGAATTACTCGCTTCAAATACAACTTTAATTATCCAAAATAGAGTGTTTTGATGGTATTATATTTTAGCTTGTAACGGTCACACTGATTAATAATATATATAGAGAGAAAGAAAGAGTGTGAGAGAGTAATATTCTTATATAAAATAATATTTAGAATGTCAAATTAATAATATATTTTATTAAAATAGCAAAAAAATAAATTATTAAGTACTTTAATTATTTAAAATGTATATAAAAATACAGTTTTGTGTAATATTTTTAATTATTTTAATTTTTATTGTGTGTATATAAATGTATTTTAAAAAATATTATATAAAAATTTGATTAATTTAAATTTAACAATAACATGTTATTTGATCTATTATTCATTAAAGATAATAACAATGTTTAAGTAAAATAGAATTACGGTAGGTGAAAAAATTTAATCCAGATTTAACCTTAAAATCGAATATTAAACTATAATACTTCCGCTAGTATATTCATGTGCTGGATGATAATTAATTTTCTTTATTTCATCATAAAAAAAATCAAATAATTTAATTACATCATATTAACTTCATCCTGTGTTAAGTATTATTTTTTTTTTCTCCTTTTAACAGTGTAACGATAAGGTGCGGTAAAATCTGTTCTTGACTTCGTGATATTGATTGAACGGTAAAAGTTGTCTTATTTGAGTAAGTTAATGATTAAAACCATAGCTTTAGTCGTAAAAAAAGGAATAATGTGATGATCATATTGGGTTAGATGGAGCAAATTAACCATCTTTTGGAAAAAGAAAACAAGTCGTCTTAAAAATCAATCTGTTTAAAGGCCGAGAGATATAATTATTTAGAACACGACAATAAGATTTGGAACTGTCATTTCCATCTCATTAAATGGGTACATATTTTCAATTAGGAAGATTTTAACATGTTTCTAATATAACATTTACAAGTCCACCACATCTTGTTCAATGTTAACTTGCTCTTGTTTCCTTCAATTGGATTGTGGAAGATGAACATTTTCACAGTGATGGATGGATCTGAATTGGTGTTGTTTACAAAAATGAACTTTGGAGTGATTTGATGGTGGTGGCCGATACATTAGTATGTTGGGCTATCATTAGTGATGTCCGGCATTTACCCTGTCATGCTTACGAGGAAGTCAATAAATGCTGCAAAAAGATCAACTTTTTCCTTACATTCCAATAGTAGATAGTATAACAACAACTTTTTTGCTAAAAAATTAAATTATAAATTTTTATATAATTTAAAAATAATTAATATTTTATCATATCATTTTATTTTAATATATCATTTATTGTTTAAAATATATGAATGTGTTTATTATTAAATTACATATTTACAAATAATTAAATTATCTTATCAAAATAATATTGTATACTTTGATAATTAGATTGAAAAAATCTATACTCAATAAAAATTATTAATACACCTCTATTATACTTTTTGATTAAAAAATTTCTATTTATTTTATTTCTTAATCAATGTTCTTAAAGTATTTATTAGTAAAATGTTTCTTAATATATAAAAAATATTGGTTATTATATATTTATGTAGAGAATATATGTGAAAGCTTTAAACTTTTTTTTTATTGAATATTCTACCTTACTAAAAAATAAGTTTTATATTTTAAAATAATAAGCATTTTTAAATAACAAACTGCTTTGTTATTATGTATCTAGAGTCATACAGTAAAATATTTCATTTTAAAAAAATGTGTTAACTTCTTAACAATAAAAATATACTAACACCACAATTATAGCTTATTTTTATATATATAAAATTAAAAATTATAATACTAAAATATATTTTTAAAAATTATAAAAATATAAGATCAAAAAATCATCAATACTGTAACTGCAAAAGAAATAATAAAAGTTACGAAGTTTCAATGACGATTTTCAAAAAATTTGTAAAAAATTAAAACTTAATAATTTTTTTAAAAAAATAATAATAATATTTTTAAAATGCCACTGATAATTTTATTTGATATATTTTTCGAAAACATCATATTTTAGTAATTTTTTAAACAATTCATATAAAAGACCCCATAATATTTGACATTTTTTAACTTTAATTTTAGTTTTAAAAATAAAATTTAAATGTAAATCTTACTAAATAGAAACAACACACACATGATCTAGTCTTACATAAATTTAATTCAATAAGAAAAATATGATTAAAAATTTGTGTAAAAAATGTAATCTAAACATTTTATTTTGTAAAATAACATCGAGTGATTCAACCATTTTAAATATCGAGCTAAAAATTCTTAAAGTTACAATTATTATGTCGCTAAATAGTGTATTTACTATTTTCAAGACATACGAAAAGAAATAAAAACCTAACAATTATAAATATATTTTTTAATGTTAATCGCTCTCATATCCTAATGAATGAAAATTGTTGCTACAATTTACTTTTACCCTCACTCCTCTCTTTTGTTCTCTTTCCCTCTGTGTTTGCGGTGATTCTGTCCCTTACTTTTCGTGATTCTCTATTTTGTTCTCATCTCACACCACTTTCATTCACCTCCTAATTCTTTATTCTTTTTCATTCTCTGCCTCTTCCAACTCTCTTAACTCCAAAAATCTAGCCTCGAAATCGGGCATCCGAAATCTCCCTTATTCACTTTACGTAATCCGCACTATGTATGAACTATGCACCTTTTTGTCCGAACCAAAAGAAGTAATTTTAAAAACAAAAATCGAATATAATCTATTTCACAATACATACATATGTTATCTTTCATTTTCTACTATAATAACAGTAAAATGTATACTTATGACTTCAAATAATCTAATTATTGCATCTTTATAACTATCTCTGTCACATAATAATATAAATATAAGAGACATTTGAAAGATTTTTTCATAAAGTTTACATCAACTTATGGGTTTTTTTTTCTTCAATTTTTGCTGACTTATCAGAAAAGTTATTTTGAACTTAATTTCAATAAAATCCAAGTAAAATTAATGAATAAACTCCGTCATAAATTTCTGTTCAACAAGCATTTAATGAAGTATTTACACGGTCATATATTCCTCTATAATTTTCAAGCGGCACAAGTTAAGAAAAATTAGATTTTGATAATGTAGATATTAGTATTAAAGTTAATATATAAAATAGAGTTCACTGTGGAGGGATTGTACTGTAAACTAAAGATTAAGATGAAGCTTAAGTTGGGTTGGGTGGTGATTGGAGTGTTGTTGTTGTACCTGCGGTTGTGTTGTGAGTGACATTAAGATGTCGCGTCGTTTATTCTCTTGAATCGAGGAAAAGGAGGGAGCAATTCTGAGCATAGTGCCATTCATGGAGGGATCCATTCTCATTCTTCAAAATGCTCACTCTCCATCCGTTTTCCAAATCTAGCATTCTTTGGATCAACACCATTTACTTTCCTCACCACCAAACAAAAAACACAACATTCTCATCTCACTCTTCTTCCTCTTTCTCTCGTTTCCCATTTCACCTTGCAACTTGCTTCATCTTTATGCAATCCTTTAGAGTTATAAAAACACCTTCTTTGATTAGCTTCCTCTCTCTTTCTCTCTCTTAAGTGGGTTTAATTTTGTCTCACAGAAACCAGGTTGGTTGGTCTTTTCTGCTTCTCTCTCTCTTTCTCTCTCTCTCTCAACTTGTGTTCTTAAATATACTAATTTTGGTGGGTTTCCCGTTTTGAAGTCACCTTGGATTTTAACTGAATTGTTATGTACTAGAGTTTTTATTTATTTATTTAAGTACTGGCAATGATCTTGTAAGGTACAAGGTCTTTAATTAATGGTTTCTCAAGTGGTTGCAATTCTTCTATAGTTTCTTCTATTTTCAGTCCCAGATCTCGGTTTTACCCACCCACTATTGCAGCTTGTGTAAAGTTCTTAAATTTGTATTGATTATTGGCTTGTCAATTTCTTGCTTGGACCGGGTCGTTTTCATTTTTATATATATATTTTTTATTTTTGTATTTTTGCTTCTCCCCTTTCTCTCTTTGTTTGATTCCAAAATTTGTTAAGATGAAGTTGTTCTAGATTTATATTTGGCTAGTGCTCCTGGGATTGACTAATTTTGTATTCTGCTACGGTTTGGGCACTTAATTGTTGTTCTTAGTTGAAAATTTACTTAGATTCATCCAAATGTACTGAATTTTGTTATTTCTTTTGGCACAAATTCATAAACAGTTGTTAGATCTGGCTGGAATGTGCTGTTTACTGTTCTCAAAAGACATCTCAGTCTCACATACCATGTTTGAAATTTCGTATGTGGTGAACTATCTTCAATCCCTTTGAAACATCCCTTTGTCCTCAGAGTCATGTTTCTCCTTGATCTTATTTCTCTCTGCTTATATTCCATTTATTGCATTACTCTTCAGATTATCAACCTTCTCGGGCATATTGCATCGGTTGTCTTCATACACAGGAGTTTGTTCATTTTCTTTCTTTGATTCTTATCGTTTGCTGTTCTGGTATAATCTCTAAATTGGTCTTACTTACGCTGTGTAAGTTTCGTATATAGTAGGCCTTGCTTTCCATTTTTTGCTATGCTGTTAAATGATTACATTAACTTGGGTTGATTTTGTGTTTTTTTTGGTAATCAACTTAAAATGATTCGTTTTATTTAAGCTTTTAATTGAGATTGATAAGTTGGTTGCAGGTGTTCTCAGGTAGATTGTCACCATGATAAAGCAAATTCTTAGTAAATTGCCTAAGAAGGTTCCAAAATCTGACTCATCAGATTCTTCAAGGAGTGATTCTGGCAATTCTACTAGTTTTGGGAATGTCTTTCAGTGTACAAATGTTGGAAGTACTATTTCAAGCAAATTAAATGTTGTGAAAAGGGTATCTTCAGTTGTTTTCCCTGCAAGCATGAGTGCTGGAGTGGAAGCCGTTGACCCCTGTCTGTCCTTCAAAGATGTTTCCAATACACAGAAACAAAGCCTGTTTATTAGTAAGTTGAATCTTTGCTGCAAAGTTTATGATATGAGTGATCCTGATAAGAACAGTACAGAGCAAGATTTAAAACGACAAACGTTGGTGGAGCTTGTTGATTTTGTTTCTTCTGGATCTGTTAAGTTCACAGAACCAGCAATTGCTGCATTGTGTAAAATGTGTGCAACTAATTTGTTCAGGGTTTTCCCACCCAAGTTTCGTACGAGTACAACTGGTGGAGAAACTGAAGATGAAGAACCAATGTTTGATCCTGCCTGGTCTCATCTACAAGTTGTTTATGATCTACTCCTTCAATTCATCAATTATAACTCTCTTGATGTGAAGTTGGCAAAAGCGCATATAGATCATGCTTTTATTTTAAGATTACTTGACCTATTTGATTCTGAGGACCCTAGAGAAAGAGATTGCTTGAAAACAATTCTGCATAGAATCTATGGAAAATTCATGGTTCACAGGCCTTTCATACGGAAATCTGTTAGCAACATTATCTACCGGTTTGTTTTTGAGACCGAGCGGCATAATGGGATTGCTGAGCTGTTGGAGATTTTTGGGAGTGTTATTAGTGGGTTTGCATTGCCATTGAAGGAAGAGCACAAAATATTTTTGTGGAGGGCCTTAATTCCTTTGCACAAACCCAAATCTGTTGGCATTTATCATCAGCAATTAACATATTGTGTTGTACAATTCATAGATAAGGATCAAAGACTGGCTAGCACTGTGATAAAGGGGTTATTAAAGTACTGGCCAGTGACAAATAGCCAAAAGGAGCTGATGTTCATTAGTGAGTTGGAAGAGATTTTGGAAATAACTAGCATGCCTGAATTTCAGAAGATTATGGTCCCCCTTTTTCGGCGAATGGCTTGCTGTCTTAATAGTTCTCATTACCAGGTAGTTACTTCTAGCTGGTCCTCATTATTTTTTTCTCTTGTTATTTAATGAATCTGCTGTTGTGTCTGATTCTAAATAGGAATATACATTAAAATTCTAATGAATTGCAAGTTGATTATTTGATCTTTTGCTTTCAATTAATCAGGAAGCCCTGCTAGCTGTTATTCTTACACTATCTGAATGATTTTATAATAATAATTTATTGTAAACACAGTTGAAGAGTTCATGTAATGTCCAAGGATTTCATATGAAAACATTGATATGGTCTCTTCACTCTTGAGATCATTCCATGCAATTTCTAGTTACCTTTTTTGTATGGTCATGTTGCCAATGTCTCTACAAAGAACATAACATCATTCAGCTCACATTCATTTATTTATTTAGGTGGCTGAAAGAGCTCACCTGCTATGGAACAACGAGCACATCCTTAATCTTATCACACAGAACCGACAAGTGATTCTGCCACTTGTCTTCTCAGCACTTGTACACAATGCTCAAAGTCATTGGAATCAAGCAGTGCTCAACTTAACTCAGAACATAAGGAAGATGCTATCTCAGATGGATGAGGAGCTAGTACTTGCATGCCAACGCAAAATTGAGGAGGAAGATTCAAAATCAAGTGCTGCAGCTGAGAAGAGAAGAATAACATGGGAACGCCTAGAAGCTGATGCTCTTGCCCAAACTGTAGGTGGTGATATACTAGTTCCAGTAAAATCAGCTACATGCTCAGTGGCATGCTAATTGCTTTGAGTAATGATATGATATGATGTAAGGTTCTAATTATTACATAGTGGTGTGGTTCTTGAGTTTTATTTGCCATTGCCAATAGGGTATGTATATCATATAGTATACTATTATTACTATTCACTACCTTGAAATTGTGCTGAGGGGTGTTGCTGAGGTTGTTTCATAAACATGGTGAGTAGGTGATAGTATTTTGATTTTGTTTGGAGGAGAAAGAGTGTGGGGTGGGTGTGTGTCGGTGGCTTATTCGTGCGTGCAATTATTTGCGGTGTCAGCATCCGTAACTCTGACTCTTTGTTCAGTTTTCTTACCTGTTGGCCCCCACCTTAGTCCCTCCCTTCCCCTGCCACTGTGTACCTCAATGCGGTGTCATTGCTACTTTGCCATACTCATTGGCCATTTGCTGTGTGCATGTCTAAGCATCTCTCTCTTCTCCCTAAATGCCAACTGAAAACTTATGCCTATGCTCATTCCTTCTCTTTTTTTTACCTGCTCCTCTGTGGTTGGTTTTAGTTAGTGTTTCAAGGAAATGGTTCATTGTTCCAATTTGGCTTTTCTTTCTAGTAAAAGGTATGTAGATAGCAAATATTAGAAATAGACATCTTATAAAATTATATATTTCATAACTTATATGAAGAAAATTTTATTAATATAGTTAATCTCATCATAAAGTAAATGAGTTTATAGAATTTCATGCAATTTTTAAAAGAAATGATATTTTTTAGTATCGTTTTAATTTAATGTCTAGTGTTGTTTGAAGTATAAAAAAGTTTAGTAATAATTATGCATAGAATAGGTCATTGAACAAAGTTTACCAATAATTACTTGTAGAATAGGTGAATCCGATTACACACTCATATCCACGTGGGCATTGGTGAGATTTACCTCCAGTCAAAAGTGGTGGTTAAGATTTTTTTTCTTTCTAAAAATAAAAGTGGAGATTTTAATATTTGGGTTCTATAAGACGCGTTTTGAGTTGAAAAAAAAAATCTTATGTATTTGTTTTTATTTCTAGGCATAATTATTAAAATATAACCTTTTTTTTATTTTGTTACCTTCTTTACATATTTATAAGTAAAATAATGAAAATCTTATTTTCAGTTACTCTTATAGATATCTTTAGATGCATAACAAAGTAAAATATTTTATAACTATTTATAAAAACAAAAAATATTTTTCCACTAAAACAAGTCCATATATTTCATTTTCACTGCAAACAACCACAGGTCGTGAATGAGATATCTTTCTATCTTACCTACTGCAGCCGACCTCTTAAAATTTACTCTATATTTAATGCATTTTCCTTTTACAGCGGGTTATACGACCCTTCGTTTCTTATTTTCTCCTCCTTGGGCTACTACTCAATATTCAACTTCCCTTTTAATAATTAATGTCTAACTTTTGGATCATACATATAGACGTTTATAAGCTTAAGGATTGGCAAATTAAGATATTCAGATATTTCCTTTTGAGTTACATAGAATGATGTTCACATTTGGTTTCGCAATTGGTGTATGGATATTGTAAGTGGCAAACATTAAAGTTTACTCATCAATGCAAAGTCTTTACATTGTTTGGTATTTCTTTGCTATTAAAGAAAGAATTTTAATTTTGATACAACATATTACATAATGTTATATCTCCTTGATTTTATGCAGTGGTTAATATTAAATGAAACATGAACATAAGATTGCACCATACTTTAAAAACAATTTACATTAAAGAAATGGGAATCTAATACATTCAGACACTGTATAATTAGACAAATCTTATATGAGAAAATTATAGTTAAGAGTTTAAAACTTTATTAGCCACCAAACATACAAATAACAAATTTATTCGAAAAATATTTTTTTAACAGTCGTGTTTAGTAGGGAGATATTGAATTGTTATATACCTTGCGTTGATATCATATGTTTAAAATATCTAAATATACATTTTAAATTATTTTTTTTACCATATCCAATATAAATGTATGTAGTTTCATTTTGGCTACACATGGATATGTTGAATCAAGATACAGCTTGTATTCAAGCATCCAGGGGACTGCCATTAACTTATTGTAATTATTATTTAGTCAAAGTTTGGTTTTATTATATTTTGATGAGCATTTCAAAGTTCAAACAATGCTCCATTCAGAAAAAGGAAAAGAAACAAAATAAGAAAAGAGTTGAATGGCAGAGAAGAAACTTAGTTGATAAGGAAAAGAAAGAAAATAATAAATGAGTTGGTCCCTAACCATGACTAAACTCCGTGTGTAAATTTCAATAAAAACAAAACTTGGTTCTAGGTTTCATCTCCTATTGTATATTTTTGTGCTTGAGTGTGCACCATCTGATTGATTATTCTCGCTATATAAGTAACTATTTCTTCCTACTTCACCTTCTATATAGTTCTAAGTAAATTATTTTCCCAAACACAAAAGGAAAAATGATGAATGCACCTCCCACATACCAAGAAATAACTTATGTGGAACATGTTCGCAGACGCCATGAAGAAAAAGGCTGCCTTTATGCTTGGTTTGTATAGCTATCATTGTTATGCTTTTGTTAAATTTTTTGTTATTATTGCTGTTGCCACTCTACCATATAAATGATTTAATTTTCATCATTTTGCTCTCTTAGTTCTAGACAGTTAATAATTTCCTTTTCTACATTGTCTATATTCATGTATCATAAAATTATTTTATTTTATTTTTGCTGATACATGTTGATTGGTGTGAAACTTCATTGGGATTTGCAGTTTGTTTGCCTTTTGCTGCTGCTTCTGCTGCTTTGAGACCTGTGAGTGCTGCTTGGATGTGGTGTGTTGCTGCTGCTCTTAGAGGGTGATCACCTCTTGCACCAGTCTTATGATAAAAATATGATCATGGGCTCTTCTATGTTTCTATCTAAAATAATAATAATTACAAATTGAAGATGTAACTTTTTGAGTATGTTACTTTTGACTTTTGGCTGTGATTTGCTTCCTTTGTAAATTTACTTTATGGCTATGGAGGCACAGGCCTAACGGGGTCCCTTGCTCCTTCTTGAATATTTTTATTTAGCGTATGTTACTCTCGTGATAATAACGGTGAAATGAACAATAAAATAACCATGAACATTTTGTGGATCTTTTTTGTGTTATGTCGGCAAAAGTTATGCTGATTCTTGTGCAGACTGATTAACTGGAGCCCTCTCCGGGTCCAAATTTTAATAGGCATGGTATTCAACAGTTTCTATGAGTTAAGCTTTGAATTTTTATTTTATAATGGCCGAACAATGCTTATTTGTTTTTGACCAAAGTAAAGTAAAGCCCTGTGAGAATTGTTGCAATACCAAATGGGTTACACAAACCAGATCAGGTCTTTTTTTAAAGTTGATCTAGAATTTATATTTAACTGTTCTGTCCCATGTCTCCATCCGTTTGGTATGAGTAATGCAGTTAAAGCATATTAAAACCTTTTGGTGTAACCAACATAAAATCAAGTTTCAAATTTAAGTCAGGATAGTACCATAAAGAACGAAATAACATGTTAATGTAGTTGGAGTATACAACACCTTTAAGGGCAAGTACAAATTTCAAATAGGACAATAAAATAAAGAAGGAAGAAAAAGTATATATTTTTCATCAAGGAAAAATGTTAGCAACACAATCTTTATATTTGCATAAAACTCACACGACACTTGTTAAACAGGGGTGAGACTCAATATTTGGTGAGACCTACATTAACTTTATCAGATGATAAAGTGTATTGAAAATAGAGTTTCATGATTGCTACATCTCATAAAGATAATCTTTAATTGAAGATTAGAGAACATTATTGGTACAAATAAAAAAAAATCGCCTTCCATCAATTTGTGAAAATGGGAGAATATGAATTAATGTATCATGTAATTTAGACTTAAGTTTAATTAAAAAAGGCTGTTGTACTTTTTATTAAGTATTTCTCCAACATGGATAAAAACAAATTAAAAATGAGTTGTGAATATTAATTAGAAGCATTGCGCTTTTTGTCTTTTTGCTGAGTGGTCTACAATGTTGAGCTGTTCAAACATGAAACGCACAAGAGGACCCATTGGAGGCAGGTCTTTTAGACGGACCCCAGCACCTTTGTCTGAACGATAAGATACAATGAGGACGATAATGATGCTCCTAACAACAAGTATCACGTTGTGGCCCTGCCTTACCTTTTTGCCAGGCTTTCTAATCTTATGGGTCTCTTTCTTTTTCGTCCTATCTCGTTCAAATCAGAATTCAACTCAAGTCTAGTCCTACAAATTTAGTTATACAGGTGGAACTTCATGCAATCGGATTGTGGTAACTAGACAACCCCCCAACCCAAAAATATAAAAATAAAAAATTAGCAAAAAGAAAGCATATTAAAACTTCTTTTCAATATGAGATGAGTTATCATATTAAGAAAAGAAAGTGTAACCACAACTTCTACAAGTTTCACTGAGCCACCAGGACCGCATGTTAAGAAAAGCTATCATATTTCAATTAATAATCACAAAAGATGAGATGAGTCAGTTTTCACTCCAAAATGTTCATTGTGACTTCTTTTTAAATAATTTTTATATAAAATACTCTTCTATTAGTTAGTTAAATTAATAATAATAGTTAAAAGGAAGAAAAAAATCTTAAATAAGGAATGGCAATAGACACTTTCTTGAAAGGTGTACCATTTTATGACTGTAATTCATGATATGAGTAAGAAGATAGCGTAGTAACAAGAACACACCAGATTGGGTGGCACACTTGGAACCTGATAAAGGTTAAAAGATGAGACGGGCCACGTCACTCATCAGCAGCCAGTCTGGGACAGATGCAAGCAAAGTTTGCCATCAATTTTAGCGAAAAATTAGGCTACAAACTGAGGTAAGGCATATATGAATAATTGAAACTTCCAGTTCCAACTTTAAGTGAAAGCTTTTGATTGTTTGCCTTTTTCTTCTTTATATTCAGATTGAATTGAAAATTTGCTGACAACAAAATCAGTTTGCTGTGGCACATGTTTCTTTGGGATTGACTATTAATAACAAAAAAAAAATGTCAAACAGATCCTAAAAATGTCATGTGTGATTAATTCTGCTCAAGAACCAAATATAGTTGCCATTCTAATATTGGTGTACTCTACTTTTCCAATTGATGATTGAGAATGCAACACTTACAGAAACATCTAACAACACTGAATTACAAGTTTTGAACTATGGAACATTTTTTAGCCACAGTACCGCTTCCTGTGACGAATTCAGAAAATGTACAAACAAGCGATTGAAGTTAGTATTGTGGTCAACAGTATTGATACAAAGTTCACTGCATTGTTGTCAAGAATACTGAGTCCTGAAATCCTTTTAACTGTCGGTGCTGGCTTTCCAACAACCTACAAATGGAGTGAAACTTGTTTTGAGTATCATATATCTAAGCATTAAAATGGGCGGGTTTTATGGTGCCCTTTTTATCATGAAACCTTTTGCATTAACCATTGGATTTTCATTGAGATTTGTTCAAAAACAACCCAATAGTAATACAACATAGGAATTCAAGCATTATGCTGATATGAGAGAAAGTATCCCCTATTGGTGGGTGTTATCTCATTTTACCTTACGGCGAACAGAGCAGACTCCACTGAATTGCAATGTTGCACCCAACAGAGAGTCAATGATACTTCCACAGAGTCCTGCCGCGGTGGCAACTGGTATGATCAATAGTTGCTTAAGAGCTACCGTCTTAGACTCACATCTGGTAGTTGAGAGTCCTAAAAGAACAAACGTCAGTCCAATGACACTTCCAGCCGCTGCTGCTGCTAGAATTCCTGTTCTTGTCACACCACCATTTGTACCCTTCCTCACCGGCTGATAACAATAAAGAAAAGAAAGTGTAACCACAACTTCTGAAATTTGGTAGCAACTTTCTATTTGACTTTTCTCTATTTAAAGAACCACAGATCTCATAAACCACTTACCATGGCACGTTAGTGTTTGGTATACTAGCCAGGTAGCCATGTGTTTTATACAGATGCTCATAGCATCAAGCACTTCAAGTGAAAAGGTTTATGTTTGTCACCTACTACTGAGACAGAATAAACTGTAAAAACTGAATGTGATGAATATTCTAGGGAGGCTCAGAATCTTAAATTCCCCTTGGTACTTCAAATTTAAAGACGAGAATTTATCATTCCTAGGAATGCAACTTTCCTATATTTTTTATGACTTATTTTGGGTAGGATTGTTACTCTTCCATGTAATGGGAATGTTTTTGACATCGTAAAAAGAAAGACACCATTGCTCATCCCTAATGACCTGCTCTGCTCAATGTCTGACAATCGCTACCATTATTAAATAGCCTCTGCTCCTACTGCCACCATCACTTCTACCACTTATGAAATTGTCTTCAGGTTGAAATTTTGACAATTATCTTACTTTCCCTTACTAAACTATGCAGCATCACAGTGCAGCTTGTACATGTCACCCAATTCAACATTTTATCATTACTATAAAGCTAAATTGAACCTTTTAAAGACTATTCAAATAATATAGCAAAATGAGGCTAAATTTGGCCACATTCCATTTTACTCACAAACAGGCGGTCCATGGAGAGAAAAATATTGCAAAAAATATATGTGGAAGACTGAATAACACAAATTGGATAGAACTCGTACACGGGAATATGAAAAATTTTAGAAATTATAACTTGTAAGACACAGCATGGCTACAGTACAATATCAAAATTAGTATAAGATTAGCATAAAAGCACAAATATTTACATGGAAAAAAGAACCTTTTAAAAGTTGGCATCAGTTGAAAAAATTCTATCATTTATCAAATTGTTTCCGTATTTCCTTTTGAATCTGTACAAAGACTGAAAAAGAAGAACGAAAATTACAAAATGGAGCTAGAAGTATTGAAGTGTCCAAGTGGGTTTAATATGGAAATGTGTCTGATACAGCTATGTATGATGACTATTTTGATGTGTTCATGCTTCCAAGCATATTAAACAAAATTACTGGGAATATGAGGCTTGAACAAATTAAACAAATATTCCAGAGACTTTTGACAAACACACGAGTGTTTCTAACGAACTAAACACCACTCTGGCTGCAACAACTAAATTAGTGTTGCGTTTAATTTGAACTAAAAAAGAGAATACGAAATATTGATATAAAAATACAAGAATACAAGACTTTGACTAAGATTATTCACCTTGAAGGTTGTGATTAGACGAGGCTGCTCATCACTGAGAATTCCAAGCTCAGAAGACCAAGTGTCTCCATTGCAGCAGGAATAATGGCCAATAACACCACCAATGAGAGATGTAATCAGTGCTGACTCTTCAGAGTTCAAGCATTTATCCTTCCCCTCTGTAAATACCCATATAGTTACAACAAGAACAGATGCAATGCCACTATTGGCTAGAACTTGTAGCCTGAAAAACACAAGAATGGGAAATTTAGTCAAAAGGAAGAGAACTATGGCAATTACTAACACATTCACATCGCAATCAAAGAATCCATCCAAGCATAAGTTTATCAATTTAATAGCAGCCTATGCACAAGAATGAAGAATCATTCTTTTCGGCTCATTTATTGTTTTGTATGATCATGCACGTAACTCAAGTATGAACGCAATCAATGCTGTATTTTTTACGTCCCACTTTTTCTTCACTTTTTGAAATCCGATGACAATCATTGCACTAACTAACGAAAACGTAGAACCACGTGACCATTAAAAGAAAGAGCCAAACTCGGAATCTTGAAGCAGAGAAAGGAGGGGGGAAGGGGGGGAGAAATATGCTTGCCCATGCCCTTAAAATTATTAATATGTTTCGAACATAATCTTTTTAGAAAAATCTTTCAATACAATAGTTTGCAAGACCCAACAAAAAGAACTCACCAGTTTCTTTGTCCACCTTCTTTGAGTTCAGGGTCGAGTAGTCGCTTTTTATCCTCTCCCACATTTGTGACCCTAGACGAAGAGAAAAAGAACGCAAGCAGAATCGCCCCAAACCTTGATGACCCATCAACAAAAGGACCAAAAAGATTACATTTTCGGGGTCCCCCAACAATCAAAACGGAGAAGAAAACGAGGGTAAAGAATCACCTGCATCCTACAAAAAAGTGAAGGGCCATAACGAAGAAGCCAGCAACGGCTCCCGAAGTGCTGAGGGATTTTTTCTTGTGAGCTCTGAATGCGATTAGCGACGCAACAAAGACAGCGAATAAGAGTTGAAAAGATGAATCCATTCCAGACAGCGATGCGATTCACGTTATTGAGTTCTGAGTGTGTTTTGGTTTGAGAGAGAAAGTGTATAGCTGCAACAAGCACGATGAGCAACGCAACTACCACTATAACTGTTTGATGAAATGTTTTGACTCCGTTATTATATTTGTAGTACAGCACTGTGCCACTATGGCTGCGTTTCGTTGCCCAACGTGGAACCCCAATATTCGCCTTCTTTGGATAAATGAAATACATTACTCTTTTATGAACACTTCAGTTTACATATTCAAAAATTAATTTTTATTTAAAATATTTATTATATTCTATATATAAAGATATAATAAACGTTTTTAATAAGATTTTATTATTGTTGTTGAAAAATATTTATTATATTAAAAATATTCTATTTTTAGCTTCGTTAATTTGTGCACCGGGCACCGGCCTAATATATACACAGGAAAATCAATAAAAAGAAAACGAAGTTTAAAATGTAGGGAAAAAATATAACAAAATATATGAATTGATCAGAATGAAAGACAATAAAATAGAAAAAAAATAATTATCCTAAATTTATATATTTTTTAAATAAAAATTTTAAATTTCTATTTATCTCAATTAATCTTTTAATTATTGTTATTGTTATAACAGACATTTATTAACTAGAGATTAAATTATTAACAATAAACAAACTTGAACTTTTTTTATTGAAAAATAAAAACACATATAGACATCTTGAGTTTTAAAGATTTCACCAAATAGATATATTATAAACCTTTACAATTCATTCTGGTTAAATTTTAAACCTTTATTAACTAAAAATATAAATATTTGTCATAATGATAACAGTGATCTAAGGACTATGGTAGGAAAAAATATACAAAAATTATAGTAGTTATGTATACTTTAGGCCAAGTAATATTAAAAGGTCCATTTGTGACTTTAAACTAGGCTCTTGAGCAAATCAAATTTAATTTAATATTTTTACATAAAATAATATTTTTATAAGTAAGGTTTTATGTCATGTATTACTTTCTCTTACTAAAAAAAATTATATTTTAAAATTTACAATTTACATATTTAAAGGAATCTAGGCAAAAATCCTTCCATGATTTAAAAATTTAAATCAATTGACGTGGTTATTGATATGAAGGGCATTGACGACGATGTTGTTGAATGTACTCCCAATAGAAACTAATCAAGAAGAAATGGAGGGAGGACTATAGTTGATGTTGATCTATAACATATATCAGACTAAGGTAAGTTTGCTCTTATCGAATAGTTAATTAAGCTTTTGATACTATGCTGAAAAATATGGTTCTGTTGAAAGGGAAAGAGAGAAAAATAGCGAAAATAATTAAATATTTAAGTTTTATTATTGATAGAATGAATGTATAAGTTGATACACAAAATTTCTTACAATAATTTATGTATAAGTATTACTAACTACTACTGATCAAATTCTTAACTAACTTCTGATCCCCTAAGTATGTCTCTAACACTTTTTCAGAAAAAAAATAAAAAGATGTTATATTGAGTCTCTTGGTAGATAACATAACATAAAATAAAAATTATAAGAGTACAATAAACTCTCATTTTATGTTGAACATGCACTTGAATAATATATTATATAGCATTTTGTTTTCTTATATTACCTACATTTAATTCAAACTTACCTACAAGATAAAATTTATACTAAAAAGGTAAATAAAAAAAATACACAAGATAAACTTGTTATATCATTAATTAAATAAAGATAAAAAAATATTAACTTATTCACTAAATAAGCACATAAATATTAGACTGTAAAAATATTTGGAGGAGCACAGGACATCAACAACTCACTTTTCAAAATTCTAATAGGGTTTTTATTAAGTTTTTAAACACACACAGAGAGACTTGAAATTCTAGCCCTGCCTCGCCCTTTTGTTTTGAAAAATAATAAACATAAACGTTGTTTTTCTAAATGACCAAATTAATTACCCAATATTTAAACAAAACAAGTATAATTTAAACCACGGTATACATTTAATTACACTGTAAAATCAACCAAGTTTCCATTTATATATTTTTTTAAAACTAACAAATATTCAACTGTGTGATTTATGTTGCTGAATAATGTGCTATAATTATGTTAAAGAGAAAACGACATAATTTTTTATTGATTTTAATTAGTAAAACATGCAATTAATTAAGTTGAATCTTTATTCAATAAAAAAATATATATTTTCTATCTGCTATATATTATCATGTACTAATCGTGAAGATTAAAATTCTTAAATATACGACGTATCAACCTTTACATTATATATGAATTTTAAATTTAAAGACACTCTGCAGCACTTATCTCTCAGTGCCACATAATCTCAGGACACCTGATTTTTCTTGAACTCGCCCCAAAACTACTAAACCCTTCTTAGGGTTTCCTTCTCTGTTCTCAAAATTTCAAATCTGATTTTTATGCATATGCATAGTTATTTCCCATAAATAGAGACCCCTTTCTTTTTTGGTCCATATAGTGATTACTTTTTTCTGGTCAGCATAGAGATCACTTAAATTGGGGAAGTATCCATAAATATGCGATCCACAATTCACCCTAAGTTATTGGGCCATTACTTAGCTTCTCCCAGATCCAAATAGTTGTTGCTGACACAAAAAGGACCTACTCGTCTCAAACCATGCGTTTTTTTTTTTGGTCCACCTCAAACAATGCTTTGTACGATGCCAGAAAAACTCAAATATCTTTAATTCCAAAAACACGTAGTGGGCTTACGCTGGTATTTTTACACGTGCGGTGCCACTTCGTTGAATTTTTACCAATTTAACATAAGATACTTGTAGAGAAAAAAATAAAATAAAAGGTATTCGAATTATAGGTACTACTTATCGGCAGTGTTTTGCGTATAAAAGGAGGGCTTAGAATAATTTATTAAAATGTTATAGAAATAGTATACTACTTGTATAACTTTTTACTATAATTAATGAAAATGTTTATGTTCATTTTAATAAACTTTATATTATATAATTATACAATAAAAAACCACAAATTATAGTTATTTCAATTTAATCTGTAATATTGGATGAAAACACTGTAACTAGAAAATCTTTGTCTTATATCATGTACAATTCGACTTGTCCTCTTTATGTTTGTCCTCCTTTTTTTTCACCTTCCTTTTTTTTTTTAAAAACACCTCACTTTATCTTTTAGTTATTTAGCTCCCCTAAGAATGGTAATTATGAAGTTTGTGATTGTGGGCGTGTCTGCTCTAGATATGCAGCACATGCATGTACCTCGATAAAAATCAACACTTTTCCTTAGCCACTTTAGTTTTTCTCAATCTAGTTAGATTTGATAGGCTCCTCTCTCTCTCTCTTTTTTCAATAAAACAGTTGTAGACAGGCATGTGTCATAAAAGTAAGGTCTACTGTACCTTTATATATATATATTTATGCTCTTTGCGTCATTTTCTTTATTCCATCTACAAAACACACACAATGTAATATAATATATATTCAGCATTATTAGGACAATGCATTTAATACTTGGGTAAGTTTCTTATAGATTTGATTGATCAAAATTAATATTGAAGCACGGGATTATAGGGAGGCAGTGAGTGCAAGGGGTTTCCACCACCAAAATTTCCGTGGCATGTACATGGCATTAGGGTCGCTACACTTTACGGTGAGGGACCTTGTAATTAATCTAACATTTAATACCCACAACAATAATGCACTTGACCTTGTCACTTTCTAGAATAGGGTTCTTTTTTTCTTCTTTGATATATCCTTTTGGCAAAATGAACATGTAATCTACCTTTGATTAAACCATATGGAAAACCATGGAATGTTGAAAACAAGTTGTTTTATAACTATTATTAGCAATTTCTATTCGTTATTATTCCCCAATAAACCACATTCGAAATAGTGCTTTTCTTAATGATAAAGCAAAACACCCCAAACGGGTTCTAAATTGAATGTGATATAATATGACTATAGCTATAGCGGCAACTGACAAGTCCCAATCTAGACGGGTATGTTCAAATGCAAATTTGAGACCCATTAATCTGCGTCAAATACTAGTAGACCCACTCCACCACATGAATGTACTAACCCGGCAACTAGATAGATGAGCATTCAATAATGTTATGTTTTCTTCTTATTTTTTAACAAGAAAATTTACAATTAATAAAAATTAAAATAAATAAAAAAGTGATGTAAAATTTAAGATTTTGTTATGTCAATCCTTAAGGCTGAAAAAATAAGTAGCTAATAATAATAAAATTTTATTAAAAAAATATTTATTGTATTTATATAATTTTAATATAATAATTATGTGTTTTTTTATATAAAAAAAATTATTTGTGAATATTTATATTCAGCCATAAGAACTGAGGTTAACAAAACCCTAAAATTTATTGTATATAGATGTATCATTAGTCTTTAGAGTTAAATAATTCAACTTACAGATGCGTTAAAAATTTTCTAGCAACATTTTGTATAGATTCCAAAACTAATTATATGTCCTGTGTGTTCTGAAAAAAGAAGATAGGTTTTTGAATAAATTTCAAAATGAATTTAATATCAAAAGAGATATTATAATTTATGAACAAAACAAATGTTGTTTCAGGTGCAAAGGTTGATCTTGAAAAAGGTTCGATTTTATCGTAAAAGTGGAAACTACGTACATAAGCGACCGAACAGAACGCGAAAAGTTCTCTATCTTATTCTAATTATAGGTACACTAAACACTAAACAATCATTATAATTATTCAACAACTCCAAAGCTTTGCATGCTCAGAAGCTTTTTCTTCTTTTGCTGGAAGGGCAACGGGGTTTGTATTCGTATAATAATCATGTGAGAGATATAAAGGTGAAGCACACCATGTGAATCATAAATTACATATGCATTTGTTTCATGTGTGAACGGCGGTATGATAATACAACTCAAAATATGTGAAAAATGGACATATAACTTATAAGTAACAATTTTTATCATAAAATGTCTTACCTTGTCATTTAAATTAAACAGTGTGTAAATATATAGATACCCCGTTTAACATTTATTTTATAAAATATAAAATAAATTAATTTAGCTATTAAATAATATGATGTTGATACATTAATCATGTATATTAAATTTTAAATAAATTAGACATTTGTAATTTTACAATTAATATTTATTTGTAAAAAATATATATAAAAATAAAATTATTTAATAAAATATTATTTAATCTTTTATTTGTATTAATTCACATGGACTTTATCTATTTATATAAAACCTTTGATTTAATTTTTGAATAGATAAAATTTAACATTCATATTAATTTATTACATGAGTAAAGTGACTTGATCTTCACTTTATATGTGTGCATATAGATTGTGATTGGTAAAATATTTAAGTTAACTGAAATTTTCTTTTATTAGCAACTAACATCCTTGTTTAACAAGCGTATATTTATTTGGTAAGAGCAATTTTCTTTAAGTAGTATTTTCTTGAATGCTATTCTAACTAGCTTTTTTTAAAAACTGAAGTTGATTTTTTATTTGTTACCATTACTTTCTAATAAGTCATTTTTATTCCTTCCACTTTTAAAATATTATTATATTTACTTATTTTATGCTCAATTTTTAAACAATATTTTTATTAAATATAACTAAATCATCAAAACTTTTTTTACAATATAAAATAATTAAAATAATAATATAAAATAATTTATATTATTTAATTTAATAAAAATATTTTAAAATAAAAGTAAAATTAAAATTCTATAACTATTTAAAAATATATAATTAATAAATTTTAAAATTTGAACTAAAATTTCATGACATCTTTATTTATCATTTTACATTTATCAATTAATTCAACGACAAATTGTATCAAACACGTTCAATTAAATAAACTAGTGTTTCACCTTTCAGTTAACTTATTTAATTTTTTCTTATTTTGTATACATAGGTAAAAAAAATAAAATACCGAATATTAAAGGAGACCACGGTTGTCCCTTTTTTTTAAGTTCACAAACATTATCCGAAGGTTAATAGCTCATGATGATACGAACGGAGATGTCAAATTAACAAAGTCGTAATTAAAAAAGTAAGAAAGGTTGAAGCGTCCCTCTCAAAGTGTACGGTCTTTGCGACAATTGCTTCTTTCTCCCGTTCTTTAATTTATCGCAAATCCACAAACTAGCTGACCTAATGCATCTCTGAATAGTCCATAGCAGATGCCCAACTAAAAGAACATGAGCCATCTCTGCATTTATCTTAACGTACCATGAATTTCCCCTAAAAGATAGAAAGACACTACGGTCAAGTGGGTGACCATACACCCCATAAAATAGAGCACGATTAAATGATAACCAACCAAACCCTTAGACGACAAAGACATACACTTTCTTCTCCCAAATACCCTGAGGGCAGAGGTAATTGCTCATGAAACCCGACACAAGGTGGTTGGTTTCGGTTTGATATACGCTTCAATTAAAATACTTATATCGCTTATATATTGGTGCCAGTGGTGGTTCGTCGGGTGCTTACGCTTCATATTGCTATTGGACTGAGTGGCAAGCGTTTCTGATTTACTTCACGACCACGAGTATTGTGAAGGAGTTCGTGAGAAGATATAATGGTTAGGTTATACAATTGTGGAAAAATAATATTATACAATTGTGAGGGCGACAACAAGAATTAACGTAAGATTTCACGTAGGTAAATTGTTGAAACTGAGACTTAATGAGGGAAACAACGATATTTTAATGATTCAATTAGCTAAGGTTTTAAAATTAATTGATTGGTTAATTTTATCACACTGTTTAAAATAATCAATATTTAAATAAATGTAACGAAGAATATTATCGATGTGGACACGAGATACATAACTAAACCAGCCATTTGCATGTTGAGTTTTATGATACACAGGAGCTTCTGGGCTGTACCTCTTCCTTTCCTTCTTTTGCCTATGTTAACGCTTCCGAACACAAAAGGAATGGAACTCATTTGCTCTTAGGAGTGTTTCGAATATATTTTCTTATATATATAAAAATTAATAATATGATATGTATAATGATATGTTGAAGTTTATTTTATTAAAAATTATAAAAATAAAAATAATAAAAATGAGTAAAAATGGTTAAATTAAGAGTGATATTAATATGAAGTTTATGCTTTTAAAATAAATTTTAGTTAATAAAAAAATGTATCTTAAAAATATATTAAAAATATTACTAACAAATATATTAAAAATGATATTTTAAAAAGTTATAAAATATGAATTGAACTCACACTGTCTTGTTTAATTTATTTGTCAATGATTTTGTTTGTGTGTACATGTTAACCTTCACATTTTATTTTATACAAAAGACTAAAATATCTTTATTAAATAAATTTGTATTTAAAATATTTTAATGAATTATGATTACCAAATTTAATGAATAAATAATGGGAAAATATATTTAAAAAATAGAAATTTTACGAGGACAAAAATTGGACAATTTTGATTGAATCAAACAAAATAATTTTAATCCATGTTAAAAAAACAAAGGCTTATTTGAACTTTTCTTTAATAATTTAGAAAATTGCATAATAATTGAAGTACATAACAACTTTATTTTCTAAACTCTTTGAAATTTTGATTTCGAAATAAGTTTTTATATTTTAACATGGATTAAAAATAATTTGTCTAATTTGACAAAATTTAACCCATGAATTAAATAAAATAAATTGTATAATCTTTTATGAATTATAAAATTTCATTTAAAAAATCAGTTATTTTAAGAATTAATTGATTAATTTTACTAAAATAGTATTATATTAAGTAAAATACATGTTTATTACATTAAGATGACAAATATAAACAATGATTGAAAATATTAACTGCGCTTAAATTATGACATATAACCACATAAGCTGTGGAATACATTTTCTTATTATGAACTTTGAAATTATATCATTGACTTAGCATGCGATTGAATTTGCGAACAACTAACGTTGACTATAAATAGATGGAACGGTTATAGCATTGATTATAAATTATATATTTAATTTTAATATAATATATATTACCTAGAATTTTGAAATTAAAATTAATTAAAAAAATATTTTTAAAAACTTATTCAGGGAAAAAGAGAATGATTCTGCTCCTGTTACATGACAGTCACACAAGTAAAACTTTGATTGAATAATATAATATTACGAAACAATTAAACACTAACAAATATTCAATTTATTTAAAATATAAAAATGAATACCACTAATAAAATATTATACAAATAATAATAAAATTCATATACTTCAAGCAGTTATTAAGTAAAGATAGATGTAAATTAATGAGTGCAAAAATAATTAAACCAGCGTTTCTTATTACATAAACAGTTAGAGTGAACTTATCTCTGCCAACAATTAAGCAAACTCAACTGTAACATGTTTAAAAATACGTTAGAAAAATTTTAAAATTAGATGGAACGTAAAAGTTATAATCAATAACGATAAAATAAATATAAATTTATAAGCCTTTAAACGAAATCCAAAAAACTAGTAACCTTTGGCATGGCTGATTGATGGAGGCCGTTACCGGAGGTAAATAAAACGTGAAGGTGCGTTAGAAAGGGTAGGACCATGTCAAAAGAGTAGAACTTCACCTTCAAGTATCAATTCTTTCCCAAAACAGGAACAATGAAGCACAACATCCACCGTTCGATCGGCACAACGACGAGGGTAAGATAGTAAATCCAGAAACTATATATCCGTTTCCAAAAATTACACTGACCAGGGCAGCAATTTCCTTACAGCACTGGTTGTGCATACATCCATAGCACGCTATGCATCACGTCACGTTATCGCTGGGTAGTATGTATGTTTGTATGTGCTGTGTGAGGTTGTTAAGAACGCCAACGCTCAACGGGTTTGTTTCACAAATGACGACGATACCCTCTCAAATCACACGTGTCCACCAGATAGAGCGAGTGGTGAAAGACGCGCCCGTGTGGAAAATGTATATGACCCTTGCTTTTGTCTTTCCCGCGGCTATTAAATGGGGTCTCTAACAGCACACAGACACAATGCTGCACTTAAACGAAGGCACCAACTCACTCTGTGGAGAGGGAAGAAAGAGAAGGCGCGGCCATTAATGCAGAGTCCCAAGTCTCAACTACCTAACCAACGCTAAGATCAAGTAGAAGCGGTGGAGCTTCATCCCAATCAAACTCACTAATTACATTTCCACTCTCACCTTCGTTCTCTCTTCTCGTAGACACTTCCGTTTTCAAATTTTGTTTAGGAATCGAGTGGCGGTGAGGAGGCCGCAATGTGGAACTCGGCCGAGAACGCGTTTGCCAGATCGGCGTCGTTTAGAGAGGAAGGTGAAGATGAGGAGGCGCTGCGTTGGGCGGCGCTGGAGCGGCTTCCGACGTATAAGCGAGCGCGTAGGGGAATCTTCAAGAATCTCATTGGCGACATGAAAGAAATTGATGTCAGGGACCTACAGGCGCAGGAGCAGCGTCTTCTTGTGGAAAGACTCGTTGAGATCGTTGATAATGACCACGAGAGGTTCTTTCGCCGCATGAGAAGCCGATTTGACGCGTAATTTTCCATTCTCTCTCTCTCTCTCTCTCTGGAAAAACTTAGAGTTACTGAGCAACTAAAAGTAGTTGTGATTCCAAAGCATTGCGTCAGTTATGTTTACTCTGTTTTTCTTTTCAGTTTCAAAAATCTTCTGGTCGGTTACTTCTCTGTTTCTTACTCTCTGTTAGAAATAATTGATAGTATTTGAAGTTGGAAATACTGGTGTCGGTGACTTTGTGCTTTATTGTTATTAGTTGTTTCGTTCTTCAATTCTGATAGGTTGCTGGTTCGTGTTTTTTCCCCTCATTTTCTGCTTATAGCTTAATTATGTAGTTAGTTCACGTAAAAAAGTGAATGTAAGTAGCTGCTTTTATTATTGAATGTGTTTTTTATTCGATGCGTCGTCTCCACAGAGTAGATTTGGAGTTTCCAAAGATCGAAGTTCGATTTCAAAACCTGACCGTTGAGACTTTTGTACACGTCGGAAGCAGAGCCTTGCCTACCATTCCCAATTTCATCTGCAATATGACTGAGGTGCCATCTTGTTGTTTCCTTCTTTCGTTTGGATCGTCTTTATATTTGTTTGCTTGTTTTGGACAAAGCGTTCTATTATGATTGGGTTTTGCGATTAGGCTCTTCTAAGACAGTTGCGGATATACAGAAGAAAGAGAAGCAAGTTGACAATTCTGGCAGATATCAGTGGGATTATTAGACCTTCAAGGTCAGTGTTGAAAAGTTACTATGTTATTAGATAAATACAGGGTAAAAGTAATTAAACCACAACGGAGGTTCAACGTAGTCTCCTTTTTTCTTTTTGAGGGATAAGTTCAACGCAGCGTTAACCGTACTTTGATTTATCAAAAAGAAAAAAAAAAAAAAAAAGGTGTCTGTTAGTGGTTCAACTCTATCGTTGAAAGATAATTTGAGTGGATAAAATCCAAAATTTGCTAATCAATTTCTCGTTTTTCAGTACAACGAATAAATTTATTCCAAAACATTCTTTTTAACACTTACGTGTCTACACTTACATGCATCCTGTTACCCGCACACAACACGCATATCGTTGTCATGTATTAATACTATATTAGTAAGTTTTTTCAAAACCTAATTGTAATTGATTTGCATATATTTGATAGATATTATTTTTGCAGGCTAACGTTGCTATTGGGTCCGCCTAGCTCTGGAAAAACAACGTTACTATTAGCTCTTGCTGGTCGGCTAGGAGTTGGTTTGCAGGTACCAAGTTTTTCAATTACATTAACAAATTAAAATGGGATTCCTTTATGTCCAGCAACTATTATGCCAATAGTATTGTAATCCTTGCCAGACATGCTGTTTAAGCTTAACACTGAGTACCAGCTGTAAGATATACTGAATTAATATTTAATAGGTTCCTTGCTATTAATAAGAACAACTCTCCCAGGTTCTAATAATAGAGTTGCGTCCTTTTCCTATGGAAGCACCGAGTAGACTGCACTGTCTTCCTTTCTTTTTACGTAAATCGAGTTTTTGGATGAATGCCTTCTGTATTTGTTTCACTGTTGATAATGTATAAACGGCATAATTGACGAATGGCCCATACCTGCTATGGTCCTTTTTGGATTTAAATCTTCGTTTCTTTCCCCCATCTTATGGTTGATTTTGTGCCCTTTGAAGATGTCGGGGAACATTACATACAATGGACATGGTCTGAAAGAGTTTGTTCCTCAGAGAACATCTGCTTATGTCAGCCAACAAGATTGGCATGTGGCAGAGATGACCGTGAGGGAAACTCTCCAGTTTGCTGGTCGCTGTCAAGGCGTTGGATTTAAATTTGGTATGCTTTTAAATGATCATTTTAACTTGTATTCAAATTGCACTTTTATATGCTAAGTATTATATTCTGGACTCTTGCCAGACATGTTGCTGGAGCTTGCCAGAAGAGAAAAGAATGCTGGAATAAAACCAGATGAAGATCTTGATATATTCATGAAGGTACTTTTTCATTTTCTGTTGCTTCCCTTTTAAGGGATAGTATTTTTCTGATTATTTTTTGCTTTGACATATTGATAAACATCATTCATGGATGCAAATTAATGTTCTGTGGTTTCTCGTTGTAGTCATTAGCTCTCGGGGGACAGGAAACAAATCTTGTGGTAGAGTACATCATGAAGGTATTCTCTAAGTACTGTTACTAGAAATATTTGACCTAAGGTCTAGAAGTATTTGTTGGGTTGGGATTTCTTTAAAATAATTTTTAAGACTAATGGAATTTGCATTGCAAAAATACTTACGTTTTCTTGGATACAACACGTGAGTGTATGAATTGAGAAAGCCCTACATAAGAAGAATTAGAGAAACAATGATGGATTATAAGCTTGGATTGGGCCAAAATTCTTAAGCTAAGGATCATGTCAGTTCCAATCAGTTTGAATGGTATTGCTGCAAAATCCCAAAAAGCTAATATACATACCACACCGATGACTGGTTGTGGCTGCCTAATTTGGATAACCGATGACATTGAAAATCCTACAAAGTTGAGGACATATGGAGAAAGAAAAAAAATTCCACTAAGCCCAAATGCCAAGATGTTTGACTTTTTCGGCAAGTGATCGCTCTAGAGAAACATAAGCTACTAGTATCTGTGTCTTATGCCTGATTTATATGGTCATTTGACTTACTTCATTGTTTTGTTCTTTTTGAATCTTCCAACCTCCGAAGTACTAAAATATTTCCCACAAAGATATTAGGTTTGGACATTTGTGGTGATACATTGGTGGGAGATGAAATGCTCAAGGGCATATCAGGGGGGCAAAAGAAGCGACTTACAACAGGTTAATGACATGTAGTACTTTTGTTTTGTTATAGCACGTTAGATGCATTTGGTGTATATTAATCATTTGATGTGTGATTTACAGGTGAATTATTAGTTGGTCCAGCAAGAGTGCTGTTCATGGACGAGATATCAACTGGTCTTGATAGTTCAACTACTTATCAAATTATCAGATATCTTAAGCATTCAACCCGTGCACTTGATGCGACCACAATTATATCTCTTCTTCAACCAGCTCCCGAGACCTATGAATTATTTGATGATGTTATTCTTTTGTGCGAGGGTCAGATTGTATATCAGGGCCCCCGTGAAGCTGCTCTTGATTTTTTCAAACAAATGGGATTCAGTTGTCCTGAGCGAAAAAATGTAGCAGACTTCTTACAAGAAGTGAGTGGTAGCGACATCGGAATGTATATTTCTACTGTATTTGGTTTTAGTAACAGTTCACACTTCAAATTCTTTTCAACAGGTTACGTCTAGGAAGGACCAAGAGCAGTACTGGTCCGTTCTCGACCGCCCTTACCGATACATACCTGTTGGGAAGTTCGCCGAAGCATTTTCCTTGTATCGTGAGGGAAGGACTTTGTCTGAGGAACTGAATATACCTTTTGATAGACGCTATAATCATCCAGCCGCCCTGGCAACTATTAGCTATGGCGCGAGAAGACTTGAACTTCTCAAGACTAATTTTGAGTGGCAGAAGCTTCTTATGAAACGGAATTCATTTATTTATGTTTTTAAATTTGTTCAGGTAATCCTACCGGTCTAAATCTACGATTTAAGCATAAAAGAGTTGATGATTTATAGATTTTTAATGTTTTAAAGTAACTCTAGTGATAATTCTTTTAGTCTCAAGAAAAAGCTTTTAGTCATCTGACTCATCTCTCAGTCTTCTTTTTTCTGTACGTGATTGTATACACTAATTTGATTTTTTAAGCTTTACTTTTATTAGTTCTAAGATGGATGGAACTATGTAAGGTTTTTGTAGCTGATCTAGACCCTTATTTACTATTTTCAGCTGCTTTTGGTTGCTTTAATTACAATGAGTGTTTTCTTCCGAACAACGATGCACCACGATACAATTGACGACGGAGGCATATATCTTGGAGCACTATACTTTTCTATGGTTATTATTCTTTTCAATGGTTTTACTGAGGTGTCAATGTTAGTTGCAAAGCTTCCAGTTCTTTACAAGCACAGAGACTTGCACTTCTATCCTAGCTGGGCATATACAATCCCTTCTTGGTTGCTTAGTGTCCCAACTTCCCTGATGGAGGCTGGATGCTGGGTGGCGGTCTCATACTATGCTAGTGGATATGATCCTGCAATTACTAGGTAACTCTTATGTTCACTTTGTAATTTCATTTATTCCTAGAATTTCTCTTTAGTGACTGTTTTGTGTGCTTATCTGCAGATTTTTGCGGCAGTTCTTGCTTTTTTTCTTTCTGCATCAGATGTCTATAGGTCTGTTTCGTTTGATAGGATCCTTGGGCCGGAATATGATAGTGGCCAATACCTTTGGATCCTTTGCCATGTTGGTTGTAATGGCTCTTGGCGGATATATAATTTCAAGAGGTCTGACCGGAATTGCAATATTTGCATGTTTCTAAATTCGATTAGATGAAGTAATTTTTCTGACTTTATCTCATTCTTGGGCAGACCGTATACCAATTTGGTGGATATGGGGTTTTTGGGTTTCTCCTTTGATGTATGCACAAAATTCAGCATCTGTAAATGAGTTCCTTGGGCATTCTTGGGATAAGGTATATTCCTCCTTGTGATTATAATCATGTGTTTCTGTAACAATTATAACTGTTTTTCTAGTTGAGAAATGTAGATGATAATGTTGTGAGGTGATAATATCTAGTGAATATGAATTCTCTTTTAACAATTTCCTACCTTACGGCATTGTACTCGCTATTTATTCTTTTTCCAGCAAGCTCCAAATCAGACCGCCTTTCCATTGGGAAAAGCAGTATTAAAAGAGCGGAGTTTGTATGCAGAAAGCTATTGGTATTGGATAGGTCTGGGTGCATTGGTTGGATACACAATTTTGTTCAACACTCTATTTACAATCTTCTTGGCTTATCTTAATCGTAAGACACCTTATTCTTTGTTTGAGCCCTCTGTCTTATGTTGAGGTGCCTTCTGGTGACCAAAAATGACTTTTAGAGGACTTTTTACAAAATTACAATATCTAATTTCCCTACTGTTTGCTTCAGCCTTAGGAAGACAACAAGCTGTCGTTTCAAAGGATGAGCTACAAGAAAGAGAAAAGAGAAGAAAAGGTGAAAGCGTTGTTATTGAGCTGAGAGAGTACTTGCAGCGTTCGGCATCAAGTGGTTTGTAAATTATGAATTGTCGTGTGCGTGTGTACTTGGCCATTACTAAATAGTTGGGACGAAAGGTTTCATCCAATTGTCATACTTTGCCAGGAAAGCATTGTAAGCAAAGAGGAATGGTTCTCCCATTTCAACCACTTTCCATGGCGTTCAGCAATATCAATTACTACGTGGATGTCCCTTTGGTATATAAACTGATCATTCTTTTTATTCTATAAAAAAATTATTTCTGGTAGACTACATGCTCTTTAATTCAATTATTGCTTCAGGAATTGAAACAACAAGGGATATTAGAAGACAGGCTGCAGCTGCTTGTGAATGTTACAGGAGCCTTTAGACCTGGTGTGTTGACAGCATTGGTTGGAGTAAGTGGTGCTGGAAAAACGACGTTGATGGATGTGTTAGCTGGAAGAAAAACGGGTGGAGTCATTGAAGGGAGTATATATATATCCGGTTATCCCAAAAGACAAGACACTTTTGCAAGAATTTCTGGTTACTGTGAGCAGACTGATGTTCATTCCCCTGGTTTGACTGTCTGGGAATCCTTACTGTTCTCTGCGTGGCTTCGATTGTCTTCAGATGTAGACTTGGAGACACAAAAGGTGTGAAGCATAATATGACCCTTTTCCATATTGTAGCGATAGACACGCAATACCTTTTGTTCTTTTAATATAAAAAATAACTTTTGGAGAGTTTTGATTGCCAGACCTTCGTTGAGGAGATAATGGAGCTTGTGGAGCTCACTCCGTTAAGGGGAGCACTGGTGGGTCTACCTGGAATTGATGGTCTGTCAACTGAACAACGAAAAAGGTTGACTATAGCAGTGGAACTAGTTGCCAACCCATCTATAGTCTTCATGGATGAGCCCACTTCTGGATTGGATGCCCGGGCTGCAGCCATTGTGATGAGAACCGTGAGGAATATAGTAAATACTGGGCGAACAATTGTGTGCACGATCCATCAACCTAGCATTGACATATTTGAATCCTTTGATGAGGTATTCTCTTTACGAGAGGGCTTTTCAAGAATTCCATTTAAAAGTGGGTATTTGGAATTGTACTTATCAGTAGGAAACATATCCTGGTGTCCCCTCCCCCCACTCCCCCCTCTCGTGGGGCAGCTTACTTTTTTGTTGATATTATCGTACTTTTTCTTTCTATTTTGTGTATATGCAGCTGTTGTATATTCCAGCTTTTCGTGATCCGGTCTCTAAATCAAATTGATTGTTGGCTTTTGAGAGAGCATCATATATTATCTTTCTATTTAAATTTCTCTTTAACACTTTGCTTTCTCTTCACTAGTCTGACGAAATCGTTGTTCTTACAGCTTATGTTTATGAAAAGAGGAGGGGAGCTCATTTATGCTGGTCCACTTGGCCCTAAATCTAGTGAACTAATCAGTTATTTCGAGGTGAGCTGATGCACACTTAGCTCTCACTGAATATGTGGGATATGGTTGAATAATGATGAAGCAATCCTCAACTATTCATTATATCTATATCTTTAATTGTAGGCAATCGAAGGAGTTCCGAAGATCAGGTCTGGATATAATCCTGCTACATGGATGCTGGAGGTTACTTCTTCAGCTGAAGAAAACCGTCTGGAAGTGGACTTCGCTGAGATCTACCGAAGATCAAGTTTATATCAGTACGTAACATTTGGTTGTGAATTTTGTACATGAATTTTTGTTGTATATGAACATACCATCTTTTTCTTCAGATATAACAAAGAGTTGGTTGAAACCTTGAGCAAGCCAAGTAGTAATTCAAAAGAATTGCATTTTCCAACCAAGTATTGTCGATCATCTTTTGAGCAGTTCCTTACTTGTCTATGGAAGCAAAATCTTTCTTACTGGCGTAATCCTCAATACACTGCTGTTCGCTTTTTCTACACTGTCATCATCTCATTGATGCTTGGGACGATATGCTGGAAATTTGGTGCTAAAAGGTCCTTTTCTCTTTATTTTTCATTTCTTGTATGGATATTCAAATTTAACTAACACCTTGTTTCAAATACTTCAAATTTTTTTAGATGAATGCTAGCAACACAGTCTTTATTGTTGGCTAAAATTTATTAAGAAATAAAAAAGTATTAGAGACATTAATTTAAGAGTAAAAAAGGATGAGACTCATATAATTTTTATACTTTTCAATATATTTTAGTTAATAGTGGAAAGTATGTTACAAAGAGTGTATTATTAGCATTACTCATTTGGAAATCCACAAGCTATCTATTTTTTTCATTATTATTTACTTCTCTGCAATGTCTTCGTGCTACAAGTAAGGACTTGTGATGTACCCCATACTAACGTATATTAACAAAGTCCTGCTGGATATTAGCAATTGACAGAGTTATCATGTTGTATAAGTTTTAGTCAGAATGCTGAGGAGATTATTTACGATGTTTAAGTTTGGAGTGCCTATTGCTAATTTCATGCATCTATGCAACTTCTTATTTAAGATTTTTTATTTAAATATTCTTATTATTAATGTAATTAATTAATAGAAGAGAGTATTTTACACAAAAAATAATTTTAAAAAGAAGTGGCAATAGACATTTTGAAATAAAAATAGACTCAACTAATGCATTGATATTAAAAAACTATCTAAATTACAAAAAGAGAGTTCATAATATAAGTTGACCAAATGCCGTCCAATGTCTGGAAGTTCTCGGAATGGTTAGACACTAGTGGGGCTACGATTTGCTAGTTTTAGTTTATTTATGCTGTCAATGGATCTGATTATTTTCTGTTTTTTAACCATCAGACGTTATGTAATCACCATATTAGTATTGATACAGGGAGACGCAGCAAGATCTATTCAATGCCATGGGATCCATGTATTCGGCAATTCTCTTCATTGGTATAACAAATGGCACAGCTGTTCAGCCTGTTGTTTCTGTGGAAAGATTTGTTTCGTATAGAGAAAGAGCTGCAGGGATGTATTCGGCTTTATCATTTGCATTTGCTCAGGTACTTTTTTCAGATATACCATTCATTTAGTGCATGAAAAACAGCAGGTTTCCTTGACTAACGTATTATCCTACAATGTGCAGGTTGTGATTGAGTTCCCTTATGTGTTCGCACAGGCTATTATATACTCTACAATATTTTATTCCATGGGTTCCTTTGTCTGGACTGTTGATAGGTTCATTTGGTACTTATTCTTCATGTATTTTACTATGTTATATTTTACCTTCTATGGAATGATGACAACTGCCGTCACCCCAAATCATAATGTTGCTGCCATCATTGCTGCTCCATTTTATATGTTGTGGAACCTTTTCAGTGGTTTTATGATTCCTCACAAGGTATGGAAACTAATGCTTTATTGCTTCTTTCTGGAGTTTTGGTTTATTTAGGTCGCTCTCAAGAATCAGTGTTACAAATGCATTAAGGAGTATTTTATAAAATTACCTCAGTGAAATAAAAATAAATCCCTAATTTGATCCCTGAAATATTCTCAAAACGTCAAATTTAACATTCGAATTAATGATTAACAACATCAAATTGATCCTTAAATGATAATTTTATGTCATCAACTTCATCTATTATTGTTTGCTCCCAATAAACAATGACTTCTGAACTAATTTAATATAAAAAATTATGATCGGGTATTATGATAATGTAAAATATTACACCAAAAAGTTTTAAGGTTCAAAATAAAACTTTACTAAAAAAATATATATAAACATTAACTTGACATTATTTGTGATTCTTTGAGAGTTTTATTTAAGACATTTATTAACTTTAATGCTTAGAATTGAGTTTAAGCATCTAAGATTAGTAAATTAAAAAAATAGTTATATTAAAATTATAAAGTGTAATAAATGTTTATTTTTTTAATAAAATAGTTTTATTATTAGTTGCTTAAACTTAATTTTGAAGTTAACATTTATCTTTAATTAATGTGTTAGGATTTTAATTGATTGATTAAAAGTATAATTATAAAGTCTTGTTCAAATCTAATAAATATTTTCCATCGTAAAACAAAATATTTAATATAACTTGATACTATTTATGATTCTTTGAGAGTTATATTTAAAAGTTTTATTAACTTTAATATTTATAGTTGAGTTTAAGCATCTAAGATTAGTAAATTTTTATTTTAAAAAATATTCATTATATTAAAGTTATAAAAGTATAATAAATATTTATTTTTTAATAAGATCATTTTATTTTTAGTTGCTTAAACTCAATTTCAAAGTTAAGATTTTTATTTAATTAATGTGTTAGCTTTTTAATGGATTGATTAACAGTACAATTATAAAGTTTTGTTCTAATTTAGTAAATAGTTCCACCGGAAAACAAAACATTTAATTTAACGTTGCAATAATACATGATCCATAACTCCAGAAAATGTTCAAGCATGTACTGATTTATATATATATTTCTTGCCAAGCTTAAGATCCATTGCATACCTGCACAACTGATTCTTTGAAGTCTAACATTTTGGTCAGCATGTTATTGCAACATGTGGAGTGGGAAATACATGTACTTGTACTTGTGAACAAAATTACATCTGTCATCTAATTACTTTTTCTACTCTTTTGATTTCTCAGAGAATCCCAATTTGGTGGAGATGGTATTACTGGGCAAACCCCGTAGCCTGGAGTCTGTATGGTCTCCTGACTTCACAGTATGGTGATGATAATCAGTTGGTTAAGCTATCTGATGGAAACTTGATGACTATAAAACAATTACTCAAAGACGCGTTTGGGTACCGGCATGATTTCTTATGCGTTACTGCTACTATGGTAGCAGGCTTCTGCATATTTTTTGCTATTATCTTTGCCTTTGCGATTAAATCCTTCAATTTCCAAAGGAGATGAAGGGATGGAGTTCCTAGCCACTAGAGATATAAATAAATGTGACATCTGTATAGCGATATGATTATAGCACAGCACTAGTGTGCTTCTGGGGATTGTAAACTAATAATAATACATTATCTAAATTATTTTTGTTTTACATATTTCAGGGACAAATTTGTTGTAAAGCGACGTATTGTTTGGTCTATAGGGTTTCTGTTAGATATGAAGTCAGATTACTGGCTGGTTTAATGACAGTTTTTGGTGAAATTGCAATTAACTTTTCTGAGGCTATTTCATTATTATACTTAGAATGTCAATCGGTTCTCAGAAAGTTTCGTGGATAGGGCTGTGTTTGTATGATAAAAAGCTTTATATTTTCTGTTTTAAAACGTTCTTTTTCTCCTCAGTGTTACTATCCCGTTGTACATATATCATTCATATTCAACGTCCTCCGCTTGCTTGTTACTGACTTTAAAAACAAAATTGGCTGCCAAATCTAACCAATGCATGTAGGTAGTCAAAATTGTCCCCTGTATGCAGTTTAAATATATTTTTAGTCATTTGAAATACATTAAATTTTAATTTTAATCTTTAATTACTACTAAATAATTGCATGAGTACCTTTTATATTATGACGTGTTATATATTTTGTGTCAATTATTACTCTTTTGTCAGAGCATATCATTAAGATGGACTAAAATCAATAATTTTTAAAAATATAAGAACTAAAAAAAAAGTATTTTATAAGAATTAAAAGTATATTTAAATATTTTTCTCTTTCTCTCTATTAGATAATTTTATTATAAAATTAATTTCAAAATAACAAATTTACTATAAATTTAGTTTTCAAAATTTTAGATCAATTCAATTTGATACTTTATATAATATAAGAAAAATAATGTAATGTATATATTTAAAATATATAAAAATAAAAAATATTACATTCTTATAAGTATTCAATTATAATAAAAGAATGACAAATAATTTAAATAAAATATAATTATAATTAAACATGTAGATAAATAAAAATTAATTATATTTATATAAAGCTATTAAAAATAAATAAAAATAATAATGTAGCTTATCCTATGTAATTTGATAATTGCGTGAAGTGGCATTTACAACAAAATTGGCCACCAAATCTAGCCAATGCATGTAGACATGGACCGCAATGGGTCATTAACAATAGTGAAGACTGAAGCCATGACATGTACAATAGGCCGTCAAATCTAACCAATGCATGTTCCTAAATGCACTTATGACATAAAGGGAATGATCATTCAGCTCACAGCGGAGAATCTGGTCCGGAACAAAGAAAGCTTTTATGAAAAATAAAATAAGGAAAATGATTGTTGATACTTAAATTTTGAGGGTTAAATAAGTAGAAGAAGAAAGAGTTAAAAAAGAAAGAAAATACAGAAGAGAGAGATAAACAAAAATGAATTTAAAAAAATTTGAATTTGAATATGAAAATATAAGTTTTGATAAAATAAAGGCAATGCCAACAATATACTTCATAAAAAAAAAAAATTCTTTAACAGTTGTTAATTTTCACGAACTCCTGTCTAACGAGAGGAAAAGTAAGAAGGCACATAAAAAAGAATGATACTTTCCCTCCTATATTACCAAGACAGAATTGTTGACGCCCTAAAATCTTGTCCACTGTGATAGCTAGTCGGTGTCTCTTTCTTACAACCTTCAAAACCCTACCCCACGTCTTATATAAAGACCCCAACATCTTATATAATAAGATACAGAGAGGACTGCAAGAGAGAGTGTAGAAGTGTCAGTGGTAAGTAAGTGCCTTTTAAGCTTTTAAGAATGAATTCAATCACAAACTCTTATAAGAACAACCCCAGCCACGTCAACCATAGAGTTCCACTGGACTTCAGCAGTGTGCTGACCGTACCTGATTCCCATGAATGGGTTTTCGAGCCACACACATTAGGATCAGTTCCACTCATAAACCTCTCCGACCCAAATGCGAAATCGCTCGTAAGACAAGCATGTGAGGAATGGGGTGTCTTCCAAGTCATTAACCATGGCGTTTCCATGAAGCTACTAAAAGAAGTTGAAGTTGAGACTTTTCGATTATTTTCCTTACCAACTCACCAGAAAATTTGTGCTCTCCGCTCACCAGATGGCATCATCGGCTATGGGGTGCCTCGCATTTCGAGTTACTATTCTAAGCTCTTGTGGTGTGAAGGTTTCTCGATGATGGAGTCTCCGGTGGAGCATGCCACCCAACTTTGGCCACATCAACCCGACCAACAAACTACTTTCTGGTATGCCTTTCATTCCATCTTATCTTTATATCTTCGTATGTATACCGTACGTCTCGATTCAGTTCAGTTATTTAATTACTTATCAATACGCTTTTTCTAATAATTAGGTATCTCACAAGTTTAATGAAATAAACTTTGTCTTTAAATTTGAGTTTAAGTACTTAAAAATGGTTTTTTTTTTTTGTTATATATGTAAATTTGTTTAGGATACATTTTTTTAATAAAATTTCACAATTCAAACTCTTAAAATAAGGTTAACATTTTTATATGTAAATGCATTAGAAATATCATGTATATATGAGCGTGATGACTAATATGGCATGGGTGTAACTTATTTATATTTTAAAAATATTTAATAACTAACTAGGTAATATTAATTTTCCATTTCAAATTATCCGTTACTTTCATTTTTTTTCAAATATTTGTCACTTTTAAAAATAAAAATTTTAAATTTCATTTAAGTTAATTTTTTATTTTATTATAATATATTAGGCAACCAATAATATTTTAATTAATTATTTTATTTTATTTCAGAATATTGTCCACTGCTGTTTTGTTGTTACAGCACTTACATAATTTTTTCAATTTTTTTATAAAAAAGATAGATGAACAGAGAAGAGAAAAAAGTATTAAATAAGGTGAGTGACAAGATGAGTAAATAAGAAATTTTTAAAATACGAAGAGTTGTGTTACATAAAAAGTTGTGTTGTTTCATTTAATAAATAATTGTTTATTTTATTAAAATGAAACGTTATCTTAATTTAATATAATAGTTATGATATTTCATACAAGTTAATTATAAATTTGTAAGTTAAAGGACATATATCTTTACATGCATGGCTATAAAATAAAGTGACTATTTATACATAAATATATCAATTAAAATGATATATATATTGATTTGTAAATACAAAAATTAGAATAAAGTGACTCTTCAAATAAGACAACAAGTAGAATGGTGTGACTGTCTTTTGAATTGATACTACTTGAAATGACATTAATTTTATAAATAACATCAATGCATCTGTTCATGAATAAATACAAAGTATGTACAAATATTAAAGATTGATTGGACATTAGTTAAGAAATTAATAAATAATAATTTTTATTAAAAAGTATAGAATGAGTGTATTTTTGCATTTTCAAACAAAGTGTTTTTATTTTTAATTTCTTAACCATTAGCATTTTTTATAAAGATATTCTGTATACACAATTAACTTTAATTTTTAATGTTATTTTATCAATTCATTCATCCAATATTTTTAGTACACAGAAGATATAAAAAAATATTATCATTATACAAAAATTATTATTGTCATAACTTGAATTTAAAATGTAAATCAAAATTTATTCTAAAAAATATATATCTCTTCATTCTCTTGTGTAAGTGGTGGCAACTTGAGAGTTGCATCACATGTGCCTGCACCAAGCATAACCGTTGTCGTGTTTTCTGATCCTCACCACAAAAACTACTTATTAATGATTTAAAGTGTATTTTGGATATATAATTGATTTAAATATTCATTTAATAATTTTTTTAAATGAAAATTTATGTTATAAATTTAATGATACAATGATAAAAATTTATGTTGATTAAGCTATATTAAAAATTATTAAAATAAATTGAATTTTTTGTTAAAATAAAAAATATTTGAATCTAATGTTTTTCCTATTTTATACTGTCCGTTACTTTCAAAATTTTAATTTATTTTAAAATATATATTTAAAATATAAAAAATAAAATTACATTCTGTTAAAAATTTTGTTTATTATAATATTTAAGGAAATTAATAATATTTTAGTTTAAATAAATTATTTTATTTCAGATTTGTTGTTACAACACATACATAATTTTAATATATATTTTTATGATAAATAAAAATAGACATAGAAGAAAAAATAAAAATTAAAAAAGGTGAGTTACATGAAGAAGTGAATATAAAATGTTTAAAATGTGAAAAATTGTATTTTTTTTTTTTAATTTTACATAAAGGTTGTTTTTTTCATGTAAATAAATAAATATATTGTGTTAATGAAGATGAAAATTTGTTTTGATTTAATAATAACATTTTATACAAGTTAATTATTAATATGTAAATTAAACGGCATATTCTTATATGTCATATAAATACAAAATGATGTGACTATTTATATACAAACAGGTATCAATTAAAATGGCATGTCTATTTATAGAAGCAAAAATTAGAATAAAGTGACATATCAATTATACTTGAAATTCAATCAAAATGTCTCTTTATGAATAAATACAACGTGTCTATAAATAAATTTATTTTCTATAAATAATAAACTCTTAAATTATCTTTTTATTTTTTCAATTATTCACATATTTATTTGCTTTTTTCTAGTGCACAAAAGATAAACAAAAAATTATTTTTGTCATAACTTAAACTTTAAAAATATAAATAAAAAATTTATTATACTAATAATATATCTTCTTTAAGTGGTGATTACGTGAGGAATGTAAGTGGTGGCTGCACGAGAAAAACATCACATGTGCTTGCACCAAGCATAACCGGGTCGTGTGTTAAAACATGCACTAGCTACAGTGTACCTCTCACTACAAAAAAATATTTATGAATGGTTTAACGTGTGTTTAGATAAGTAGCTTATTTAAATATTTATTTAATAGTATTTAAAAAATAATATTTTATTCTATAAATTTATTAAATAAGTTAAAAATAATTTATTTTATAAAAATAAGTTGAGCTTTATTTGTCCAATCTGTATTGCATTTTCCCTTACCCTCGACTTGAGCTTTGTTGTCTGCCTTTTAATTAGCGTTAAAAATATGTTTTTTTACTCTTGAAAACAAAAATAAAAAATAAAAAATAAAAAAAAATAAAAAAAATAAGCTGAACTATTTTTAATTAAGAGTGAAAAATAAAAAATATTTTTTCAAACCAAAAAAGTGCCGTAGTTGTTATTGAATTGTTTTAGTATTGAGAGTGTTATCCATATGTGGATGCAGCACTGTAATGGAGAAGTGCCAGAGACAGATGAGGGCATCAACTGAAAGGATGATGAATCTCATGCTTGAATCACTGGAAACAAGCCCAGAAGATGTCCAGTGGTTCAAGCCCAAAACGGGCGACACCAAAGCCCAAGTTCTCTTTGCACTGAACTCATACCCAGTCTGCCCAGAGCCAGCCCGAGCCGTGGGCCTAGGCCCACACACTGACACATCGTTGCTCACGGTTCTTCACCAAAGCAGCGGTTACAGTGGTCTGCAAATCCTTAGAGAAGGAATTGGGTGGATTCCGGTGCAGCCTATTCCCGGTGCACTGGTGGTCAACTGCGGTGACTTGATGCACGTGCTTACCAATGGCCGATTCAAAAACGTTCTGCATCGAGCGGTTGTGAACAAGACACGTCACCGGATCTCCGTCGCATACATCTATGGCCCACCAAGGGATGTGAAGATATCACCTTTGACTAAGTTGACCAATCATGGTCATCCACCATACTATGGCCCAATCACTTGGAAGGAATACATTAGCCTCAAATCGAAGCATTGTAACAATGCACTCGAGTTTATTAAGAATGCAACGGAGTAAGACCCGTCAAGTGAAAGTGAATAATGGGGCCTTTATGTTCTCATTAACATGAATTTAGTTGCTTTTATTCTTACAAAATTAATTTTGAAGTTAGAATAATTTATGCTTCTGTATTTTATCTTCAAATAAGTTTATCAAAAACAGTATAAAATTTGTACTCTAGTTAAATGTTTACTTAATAAACTTGACTTGGGTTGAGAATTAAACACGATTTTTTCCTAACAAAACCAAGCTTGCATCCGCCAAAAACATGCTTGGAGTTGTCTCAGGCAGAACCAAACATGGTAGTAATTGGCTCATATAAATGTTAATCAACTTGCATGAATTTTTTCTTTCTATAGTCAACTTTGTATCTTTTTTTTTCTAACTAAATAGCAATGATAAATTCAAGTACACTCTTCCGGACCAAAAGTATAAATATGACAAAGAGAGGGGAATTTGGAGTATACACATATAGGCCAAGTAAACATTGATATTTCCCAAGTAAAATTTCATAACGTGTATATGTACTGTGAGGTTTACCACTTTCATGATATACGGTTTTCAATTTCTAAACCAACGTGTAGAGAAATTTTTCAGAAGGGTCGTATGACTTGTATGGGCAAACAGGGACGAGGCCAAAATCCAAAACATCCCTTTTACTGTTAAAGAGAACCTATATAAGGAAGAAGGAACAAAAAGGACATATACAAAGGAAAACACCTATGTTTGCAGCCATGGAATATCTATTTACATTGTCAATACCACGAGGCAAAGTGCAAGTCACTTCCATATCTTGAAATGCTTGTCATGACTAGTTGAAGCCAGCAACCCAGTAACATTTGAAACTGCCAAGGAAGATACAACCTTGTCATGCGCATTAAGAGTCAATGTCTTGTTCTCACTGAAGTCCCACAGCTGAAGAGTCTGAAATCCCCATGATTCCACATCAAAAACAAAACTTCCCAAGTCAACAAAAAGGAAGATAATGCTGTCGGTGAAAGTCAGAATAACATGTTTTATTCTTTGATATAATAATTATACGATAAAAGATAACTTACCTCACGGCAACCAATGACCAGCACAGGATAGAAAGGGTGGAAAGCACAGGTGTTGAATTTGTTCTCAGATGCATTCAACTCATGTAACCATTCCCCTTTGCCACCAGATCCAACTGTCCAGACTCTAACCAGATCACCACTAAGAGAAGCCATATATTTTCCAGACAAATCCCAGCACACAGATTTGACAGGGTCGTTATGGCCCTAACATCAAGCATCAGATCAAGGTTGATAAATATTGCATACTCGAATACTCATAACTCCAGTAAAAAGAGGGGCAAAAAAATGTGACACAGAAAGTGGCATCCATGGATAAATTCTATACCACTTTTGAGAAAAATAACTAAATCATGTTCGACTTCCAATTATTGGCCATATCAATATATGAGATAGGTAAAATTCTATTTCACCAACAACTTGCATATTGAATTCCCTCCATTTTTCAGACAACGATAACAACCTAAGCCTTTTACAAAACCGTTTATACAATACCATTATGTTTTATCCAAAACCAATTCTTCAGCAACGCCATTTATTTCTAAATCATTTTCAATGGTTTTACCTCATCTAGAGTCTTGCTTGGTCTAAATTGCCCCCAACTTACAATTATGAAAGATATGTGGTCAAAAGCCAAAGATTATACGCAAAGCAAGAAAGGGAGAAACCATGGAAGGATATTTTGGTGATCATAAAAATTTTGCAGTTATCAACTTTGACTTCTCAAAATTGTTAAGCATCCACAAAAATTAATTGAACTTTATTAGTACACTGTGCCATTTCTTCCCTATGACTTGGGGAATACTGGTTCTAGTTGCAAAAGCAGCCTCTCCCTTCAGAAAGATAAGACTGCACGCATCTCCCCCTCCCAAAAAAAAAAAAAAAAACTCCAGTGGCATGAGCAATGATCTGAAATTAACTTTATCGCTCGGCTATCTCAATCCCTTTCAACAGTGTGCTATCGCTATCTGTCAGCTATAAACACATGCTATCTTACCTCATTTGTAATATCAATTATACATCTGAAATCAACTTTAATTTTGCGATGGGAGTGTCTTCACTGTTTAGCCCCATTAAATCCATTGATATCAAATATAAAAGAACATCAACTATTGATACACCTATTTTTGAGGTAAATAGCAAAATAATCAAATACTGTAGAATGTATGTTCTCCAAATGAATGTTGGCAATCTATTGTTGACTACATGAAACTTGAGCCATAGACTAGAAATTAAAATGTAATGTTGGTAATACATGTACTTATTACAAACAAAAAATTCACAGCTGACCTGTAGTTGAAGTTTGCAACCCAGGGTTTCTACATCAAAAATGGATACAAGATTATCTACTGCAGCTGCAAGAAGTCTTCCCATACAAGGTTGAAACCTCATCTGAGTTGCACCACCCTAAAAAAGTATTGGGAAATTAAGTTATTTGCAATCAAATTATAACAATACGTTGGTAATTACAGCCTGCTTCACAATTGATGTGAGATTCCGTACCTTGAAAACCCCAGTACAACTACCATTTTTAATACTCCAGTATCTTATCTCACCATTGTCACAAGAGCAAATAAGGTCATCTTTGTCAGGGTGAAAATCTAGTGACAACACAGACGTTGCATGTCCAGTGAATGTTCGAATAGAATAACTTGGCTGCAAAGCATAATCAAATTTCCATCAATTATATGATAAAAATAAAAGAAGTGAGCATGTAATGAAATAGCACATAAACTGATACAAGAAAAATCCATGTGATGCACCCATTGGACTAAAGAACTGAAAAATCAAAAGAATAAAATTATATAAGTTGATTCAGGAGGTCTTTTAAAGCTAGTTGACTTTCCACACTAAAGCCAACAAAGTCAACAGTTGCATAACTGGTGCTAAGATCAAGAAGTAATAACCCTATAAGATTCCAAATATGTAGGGACAAGGGAAGAAAATTAACTGGCCATCAAACAGCATGCAAAGATACAAGAAAAGATAAGGAACCAACTCCAGGTTGATTTATTGACAAGTTCCGGCAATAGAAGACACTCAATCCCTCCATCTTTGATCTATTTCCTCTGATTTCAATCATTTATAATCACACCTTAGTTCTCTCAGATTGATCCAAAGGTTTTCATTTCAAATTCATTAATAGTTATAGGCTATAGCCACTCAATTGCTGAAATTTTAGTGGTCAACAGAGGAAGGGGGGTCATAAAGGAAATATATGCTCTGTTTGGTTTATGAAAGAAAAAGGAAAGAAAGAATATGAATAGAAAGAAAGTGGTGAGAAAATGCGAGAGATTTTTGGGTATTTAGTATAAAAAAAAATGAAAGAAAGAGAAGACAAGGAAACAGATATGCCCTTAAAAAGAGTATAGAGTGTTGTAAGTAAATAGGTTAAATAAGGAATGCTAGGAAAAAAATTCTCACTTTCACACCAATTTTGCCAAGATTTCAGTTTATGTGGGTCTCATATTATTTCTTTCTTATTAACCAAAGAATGGAAGCGTTTAAAATCTTGTCTAATTATTTCTCACCCATTTGGGCCCTTTTTTTCCTTAGATACAAACATAGTGACAAGGTTAATGAAAAAATAGGGTGTAAATGTGAGACATGCAAGCAGTGAGATTAGACATGGGTCATAATTTACAGGATTTAGTGATTTCACAACATAAATTTAACATCAGAAAGAAGTTCTCAGCTTTGTTAATTGAACGTTGAAAAAAAATAAAACATAATAAATTTTATCTAAATCCAAATTAATTTAACTTTAATTTGAAATTTTTGACCAATGAAAATCTTGACTTACATTATCAACATCCCAAACCTTAACAGTTTTGTCTGCTGAGGATGTAGCAACACGCAACAAGCTTGGACAAAATCGAACATCAGTTATCCATTCACTGTGCTCCTGGAGTGTAGATTTCAGGTTAAACAATTCTGTGCACCACAAAGAAGCCTGCACCACAGAGCAGAAAAATTGATTTCATCGATGTTATTACACCCAGCCTGTTCATTAACTTGGTCAAGGTACTGGGACACTAGTTCCACCAGTGAGTTACTGGTCCAGTTATCTATAAACTGACAGGTCACCAATTTTACCATCTGAGCAATACCAGATTGCACCGGTTAGAAAGCAGAGTCAATCAACTAATCAAATCAGTTACCTAGCTGGTTCACTGGTCAAACCGGCCAGTGCAATCCAAGTTTTATAACCATGGATTTTACCATATGACAATCTCAAATCCTAAAGGAAAGCTTCTTTGAACAACCACTAAATGTAACGTTTCTACTGAAATGGAGATCATTTCATAGTTCAAGTTGAATCAATCCAGCACTTACCTTGTTATCATGGCCACCTGTAGCAAGCAGTTTTCCATCTGATGAGAAGTGACAACACTCAACTTTATGTGAACTTGCCATTATATGCTTGATCTCCTTGAATGAAAATCCTAATATATAGGAAACCATTTAAATTTGAATTCTTTGGCTTTTCCATGTAGTCACAAGAAATCTATTCCACAAAGAGCCTATTGGATTGGGATATTTTTGGAGAAGGGAAAGAGAGGAAAGATAATTCATCATCAGATTTATCATACCTTTGCCAACTTTTTCTGTAGGGTCTGTATCATCAAGTAATAAGAATGACTCAACATTGTCACCCATAGATCCATCACCCGCAAGTTGGTCCATGTCAGCCTGCCAAATAATAATTCAATTGCCTTGCCGCCATGTAGTTTTTCTAACAATTCCATACTTAAAAAAAGCTTACATGTTCATTATACTAATGGAATGGCAATTACAAAGATGATCAGTATTCAACACTACTCATGTATTTACTCTTAATTTTTTTCTTGTTTTCTCTCTCTGCGTTGGAGGGAAGGAGGGGTGGGGGTTATGCATGCAAGCATCAGCAAATAAAAAAACATCTGGGCCATTGTTGTAGTATAAATAAAAACATTTTCATCTGACAGACAGAGAAAAAGGAGTTCTCACTTCTCAACCAAAATGGGGCCATATTAGGATGCCACAACTGTGTTTTGAGAAGATGTTTATTTCAAAATCAGGGTTAAAGTACATAAGTAGTGACTCTAAAAAATCCTTGTGAAAGAGTCTCTAACCAATTGATTTTGTGCTGATGTATGTGAGCTCAAACCATCGGTACCAAACATAAGCGATGACTTAGAGGAAGGAACATTCTGTTGCAGAGTTGACATTATCATCATGTCTCCAGGTGTTTGTGTAGATGGTGTGGAAGGTGAATTGGCAGATGGTCCTATGGTGTTTGCAGTTCCAGAGCTATTGGCAGGACCTGAAGATGATGCTGGCTTTCGCTTTCGCCCAATTTGACTTTTGGAAGCCTTAAATTAACACACACACAAACCAATTAAGAGACCGAGATATGCATTTCAGTCACTAAATATTTCTCAGAAGCAGCAGATGAAAACCTGGTCATTTCCTTGTAAGGTACTGGACACATTGCCATCTACTGTCATGCTTCCAGGACTAATTTTTTCTTGCCGCTGGAGACTCTGAGACTGCTGGCTTGAAAGAGGATGCTGTGAATATTGTTGAACCTGCTGACTACTCTTTTGAACTTGTTGCTGAAAAAGACAATTTAATATACAATGAATACTTTAGGGAAGCCCAGAAGAAAATTTCTGATGGAATACATTCAAAGTGGTGGAAAAATTAATCCAAATCAAGCACAGGTGTACCTTAGGGAACATAACTGAGTCTGGACGAGGCAATACAGGGGAACCAACTTGTGCAGGTGTTCCATTATTAGGCATCAAATCACCTACGGAATTAGATTGACCATCTTTCCCAAGACCCGTATTTTGACAATTAAGAAGCATCCTGAGCCTTCTGCTTTCAAAATCACCGGCAGAAGGAGAAACTAAATTTTGTTGTGCCTGTAGCATAAGTTGCTGCCGTAGAGAAAGTTGATTGAAAGATTGCAGAGACTGCATCAAATTATTTTGCTGGAGAAATCCTGAGCGAAGCTGATCCAGTCCCTAAAATAATTGAGATCAAATCACAAATAGGATTTCTTGGACAGTAAATGAAGATGAAAGATAGCCTATATTATTATTTTCTCAATGATGAAATTTAAAGCAATTGGTAAACCAAAACATCCATATCACAACCAATTTTGGCAATTTCCATTTTGCAGTAACATCTCATATTATAAGTTAAAACTTTAACAGAGGCCAACAGTAGAGTTATGCCCAAGCCAAGTAGAGAGGCTTCCCCTTCACATTGAACCAACCAGACAGATGCTCTATCAGATAGATAATGTCCTTCTATTATTATGACTTACAAGAAAGATTGCTTCATTAATGCATACTATTTTTAAAGGAAAGTGCCCAATCTTCAACCTTAAAACACATACATAGACCAATAAAGTAATTTATCAAACATACAACATTAATTATGTAATTCAATAAAGTTTGCAATGCTGCACCACTAAATGCTATTTTCCATAATATAGCTAGATTTATAACTTGAAATTTGAATTTGACAAATCAATTAACAAAGAAAGATGGACTGGGGGAAAAATCACACAAATCAACATATAAACAGAATCACGATTGTGTTAGGGAGAATTATGCCAAAGTAATTCTTACTGCTAGAGGCCATCCTTTCAGAGTCAAATTGCTACCACCTTGATTTGAACCTAAAATGAGAATAATTGTCAACCAAGAATCAAATGCAAATCATAAAACCAAACCATTACAATCTAACACAAATCCAAGAGAAATCATTAATAGGGTGGCATATAAAGTAACTATGCACTACATCAAGGAAAGGTAAATATCTCAAGATATCAAAGTTGATGTATTCATGTTGAGTTATGCATTCCAATGACTTAATAAAACCCCAGGAAATATTCGGCTGATTTCAATGAATCTTCTGTGCCAAAGAAAACATGTTCCTTAAAGTGAAAAAAAAAGACATGTTCATAGTAATGAGAGCTATATAAGATCATGGCTATATCTATGGCGTGTCTTTAACTTAGAAAACAACAGCATGCCATTAGATAAGTAAAGTTCCTTATAGATAAGACCATTTACTGTTTTTCAAGAACCACTTGTGAGAAGATAACTGAATTCAGACTTTGGGCATCTACAACTTTTATTTTGTGTACTAACCTCTACTTTTATTAACAACCATTTGATCAAAGGGACTTATATTAATGTCAGAAAACCATATCACCCAAAAGCTTAGGATACTAGGAGAAGGTCTACAAATGAATGATTGCTTATCTCTGGCAAGATCTAACAGCGATTATTAGAAATATACTATATGTTGTTTTATTTTAACAATGTCACCAATAGCCAAAGAGAATAATTATCAAGTACATAAACTTTAAAATATAAGACCCTAAAATATATTTTAATTACGTAAAGTGGAATATACAATTTTTGGGAGGGAGAAATAAACTATGAATCAAATTACATAAGGAAGTGATATAAGGAGAAGGAAAATTCACAGACAGTATTGAAGTAAATTACAGATCTGAAGACACCTACCTAATGATTCAATTGCCTCAGCAATTTAAAGCTTTCAAACACTAAAAAAAAAAGTAAATTTAGAAACGATAAGTTTAAATTGAAACAGCAAATCAGTACCATGACAACCGATAGAGGATCCTTCTGGAACAACAGCTTGAGACCTCGGCATTGCATTCATATCACTCTTTATGTCCTGTTTCAGGACCCAGGACCAGTAAATACAAAATATTATAAATTTGAAATGAGGCTCATGCACAAATCAAGACAATAATGACATTCATAATTACTTGTGTAGACACTGGAAGTTTCTGGTTCCGATTTTGAACTTGTTGATTATTCCCCAGTAAAATGCTAGGAACACTGAGCAATTTCTGCCTGCAAAGAGAATTTGACAACTTACAAATTCAGCCCAAATTGAGATAAGCAATTGAGAAAAAGACGACATGAATAATAAAGATTCTCATCAAAGAAACAATAAGTAGGTACCCTGTAGCCTGTCTACCAGTGGTTGCTGCTACTGCTTTCAACAATGACCCATGGTTTGGGTCCAGATGCTGACCAACATTATCAGCTACTTTTTGCTGCATGATAAATAGCACAATCATTGTGATGTTAATCATAAAAAATAACAGGACCCTATTATAATCCTTGATAGACTAGATACCTTTATGGTCGCACCATCTAAAGCATCTTGCTGAAGTGGAAGCTTCAACCTGTCCTCATACGTTTTTGTTGCCATAGCATTTAAAGTTGCCTGGTTCTGCCTCATCAAAGGATCATTGCTAATAGGACAGCTATCACTGCCACTAACAAGCTGTGTTCCACCCATACTTTGCTGCTGCTGTGCATACTTCTGCAATAAGAGCTGCATATGCATTTGTTGATTTGGGTTTGCATTCAGAAGCTCTTGCTCTAGTTGCCTCTGCATTTCTCGAGCCTTACTTTGTTGGCTCTGTCATTTTCAAATGTACAGTGAGGGAACATTTATGATATGTGGTCTATAGTCTATACTACACAGTAAACATCTAAAAATAAGGGCTAAAGATATTGAAACAATCATTTCATTCTGATTTTGACAGGGACCCAGTTACTTAAGATGGCAGATGTCAATATACACATTTTTAATCAACTTAAAACCACAGAAAATAGTAGCATACTAAATGAAAATCATCACCAGCACATAATAAATACTAAACCATGGACTATTGCGCCAATACACACACACATGATTGTCTAGATTAAAAAAATCAATTCATATACACATAGCATACACAAAGAAAGGACATCAATGAGGACCCCTTGCTTAACCTTGGTTCCATTTTCCAACATTAAAGGCGGGAAGATAAAAATGAGTACAACTTATACTAAGAAGGACACTGAGGAACTATAAATCAATTAAGGTATATTTAAAACACATGCACACCTTACTGTAAGATGCTGCTGCTTCTGAGTGTTTCTGATTTGTCCTGGCAATATATATGTCCCAGAAGACAGACCACCACTCAAAAAGAAAACCATTAGGTGCGTCTATAACTGTAGCATGTGGCCAAAAGTAAAAGTCAAATTCAAAAAAAAAAATTAGAAGAGCAATTGCATTTGCATGTAACAAACTTCTTTCTCCTAAGAATGCTCATAGCCTCATATTATTATCTTACCAACAGGATCCATTGAAACACTTCCTTCAGCCTGAAATATTCTTGCAGAAGCATGCAATTGTCTCTTCTTAAGATAATCGTAGATATACACATCCAACCTGTTCCCCAACCCAAACCCATAAAGATAAGGAGTTAGAAATGGATGGAAAAGTATAATAAAATAATCCAAGCTAAATGATGCCAAGCCTCCCAAGAAACACAACATCCATTCCACGCAAATTCGCCTTCACCAAGGACCATTTTCCATTTTTCGAAAGTGACGTAATAGAGACCAAATTCTATGATCGCCGGTAAAGGCATAACAAATCATGCATAGAATAGTTGATAACTATAAGATAAATTGTCATCACATATTTAAAACCAAAAAAAATATTTAATAAGCATAGGTTAAATGCCAACGGATGTATGAATTTACATATAAAGCACTTAAAACTGAAAATAACCCAAAAAAAAACAAAGATTAGAATGAGGTGCAGAAGCAAGTCAACGGAGAGACGCAAGTCAACACTAAAACGCAGAAAATGCATAAACCTTGCAACACACGCAGCTATGACCAGGCAACATGAGGGTGCAAGAAAACCCAAAAACTTAACAACAAACAAAACCCTAAAACCAAAACCCTCAGTGACAAAAGCGATCACAACACCAAGCAACACAAGAAAATGAAGAAAACCCAGAAGAGAGAAATCAAAGAGGAAGAAGGAGGAACAAAAAAAGGGTCAAAACCAAAGAAGGTGTCAAATTCAATATGAGTGTATTAGGCACATTTTATCAGCTTCCCAGTTGAGATGAGACATGTTAAGTGTGGAGCGTGAAAAAATTTGATCTTGGCGATACCAGCAGAGAAGCTATGTCAGTGTATGTATATGGTGACTGCTTCAGAAAATATGTTTCCCGCTGTAGACTAAGAATAAAACAAAGTTGCCTAGATTCTTCAGAAACAAAACAACGTTAAATAACTGTTTTTTTTTTTTTTTAATAATTAATTTTTTTAAAATAAAAATTGAAAAAAATGTGAATTTACATATAAATAAACTAATTCAATTGTTTCCTAGTAATATAAAATGACCTTCTTGAACTTAATATATATATATATATATATATATATATATATATATATATATATATTATTTTATACTTATTACCCATAATCGGTTTTAACCATATGTTACATGGAAAGAAATTATGAGTATTAATTTTTCAAATTAAAAATATCTTGATTCATTTCAAATTAAAATAACTATATTCTGATTTTTCGATCACATTCACATTTTGGTTTGTTCTAGGTTTTGTATGTTTTGTCTTATTTGGAGAGCACATTCTTGTTCCCCACGCAACAAGTGGCCATGCTGCGAAAACGCTTCTTTTGAATTACCTTGGCGACTATCCGCTTCCTTTCGCTTTTAAATTATTTTTTATTATTTTACAACAAAATATAAATATTTTGTATCTGTATTTAATTTTTAATACTTTACTTACAAAATATCAAAGACATATATTACCTTCAATCTTATTTATAAAATATATTAATTATTATTGTTATTCCTAATTATAAAAATTACAAACTTATTTTAAAATAATTCATTATTATATATTTTACATTTTTATTTATAAGAAATGACTATCAATATTGTTTTGTTTAAATTATAAGAAACATAATATATTTTTAAATATATCAATTTCTAATTTCTTTTATATTCTTATTTGTTTTAAAATTTATTTTTAATGATATACTTATTTATTATCTATATAAGTAAGTATATTCATTCATTTAATATATTAATTATTAATTTAACTATTTAATATTACTACAAAATATAATACAGTATAAATTTATGATATATAACTATTTTATATTAGTTGTGAAAAAATAATTATTTATATATTATAAATAGGACCACATGAAAAATATTCATTTATTTAATATATAAATCAAAATTTTAACTATTTAATTATGTATTTTTTTTTAAATTATAGTATAGATTTGTGACATATAAATACTATTTATCAGTATTGATAAATTAATTATACGTTGTTTTAAATAAAATTAAAGATATGATTAATTAGTGGACACTTATTAAAAAACTAAAATTATTTCTTTCGTAAAAACTATTATTAAAGCAACTATTTTTAAAAATTTTAATGCATTTTAATATATTTAAAAGTAAATAAATAAAATTTTTAACTAATATATTTAAAACATTATTTAACAGATCTGGTATATAAATTTTTATGTGTAAATTTTTATTAAATATTTATTATATTTAAATTTATAATTCAATAGATCTTCATAATTTATTATTTATGATTTTAATTTATATTTATATTATTTAAAAATATAATTGTTATAATATAATTATTTTGATATAATGACCACGTTAATTTTAAAAAAAAATAATTAAAATTATTAGTAATATAAATTTAAATAATAATATATAAATTATTAATTTAAATTAATTATTAATTAAATATTTAATTTTAAAAACTTTTTTGTTATAAAAATATTATTAAAAATAATTTTTAATAGTGATGAATAAATTAGTCATTATCTTTAGAATAATAATGACTAATAATTATTTTAAATATTATACATGTCAATAGTAAATTATCTTATTATTAATATTTTTATATATTAGTGACGTTAATTTTTGTATAATAAATATTTTATTTTAATGATTACATGATATCGTGACGACTTTTAAAGCTTTTAATGATAAATACTATAATTACTGTATATTATTATATATATGTAATTTCTTGTAGTGTGTTCATGATTCTAATAATTAATTTTTATATTTTGTTATGATTAGTATAACTTTTTATAGAATAATTATTTATAATAACTTTTTTAAACAGATAAAAATACTATTTTAAAAAAACTAAACTAAATATACATAATTAATCTTTTAAGATAACGAAAAATAAAATCAATTATAATATTAATTTATTATCTCTTTATATTCTTAACTGTGAAAGTCAATTGTAATTTTTTAATATTTTTTTTTAATACTATTAAATATCTTGTATATTCTATATATATGTTTTAAATTTTAGATAAAACTTATAGGAAACTATATTAAAGAGAATAATAAACTTCAATGTTATTATATCAAATATGATTAAATTAAATAAAAAGTAATTTTAAAATTGAAAAAACAATCGAAATATTTTTAATACATTGACATAAATCTTTTAGAGTATGTGTGAAAGTTAAATTTTTAAATTTAAAGAAGAGGGCAAATATTTTAAAAAATTTAAAACATTTATATTATATTTATAAAATTAAATAAAAAATAACATATTAAATTTATACTAATATATCATTTTATAATTTTTATTTTAAAAAATTAAAAAATTAGAGAATCTTTACACGCGCGTGTATATATATTCTCATCTTCTCTAAAATATAATTTTTAAACACTCTTAAAATTTAAGCTTTAAAAAATAATTTTAAATTCAGTTTTATTAACATTATAATAATATAAAAAACATATAAAAGGAAGACGTCTTTTAGGGTAACTCTCTCAATTTTGAAAGTTTCTTTCTTTAATTTATTAGCACTTTATAATAAAAATATATATATAAATTACTTGAATTTTTATAACTTATAATTTTACTAAATTAAAAAATAAAAATGCTTGTATAATAGAAAGACAAAAAAGTTGTTAGTTTAAAACTTACTGTAAGCTATTATGTTTCATGCTCGTAGACTAGGGCAAATTCCTAAATCGTGATTTGGAGATTTTCAAACAAATATGTAATCACAATGAAAGAATTCACTGTTATCATTTACTATAATAAACAGAGCTAAACGTTAATAGGTCAAAATTGATTATTTGTTAAAAAAATCAAACTAAATGTTATAAAATGTTTTATAATATACTATATTTTCAGTGACTGATGTTTTGAGAACGTTTTGAGATTAATGATAAAGCAAGAAACGTATATGTAAAAGACACTATTTTATAGAAGTAAGCAAGATGATACTAGTTTTATAACGTATGAACGCAAGTGATACACTAACAGAAATATGATAGTGTGGTACGGTGACATGACATAATTGTCAAATATTCCAATGTTCTTATGATTATAAAGATGATCCAATGATTATGGTTTCCTATAATGAACGTGTATTAAGTGTTAAGCGTCAAGACATATGTATATTGAGCAGTAATTAAAAGCTGACCCAATATTAGAGTAAAATCACATAATGTTGTTGAAAAATGAGTTTAGGTATATTACTCTACATCATTTTATATTTTCATTTCATTATTTAAGTTTATTGACTAAAATTTTTATAAATTCAACATGCAAAACAGTTAATACAATAAAAATGCAGCATGTGATGAGTTCTAAAAGGTAATAAGATACTTCTGTACATCTTATACTCACATGTTAGTTTGAATTGATAAAAGGGGAGAAATGGAATTAAAATAGATCATTTAAATTATTTAAAATAAAAATAGAGTTGGGTGAAACATAATAATATTCACTCTCTTTTTTTTACATTCAATACCTCTAATTTTCTTTCCCTAGTTCAAGGACATGAAATATAACTAACTATTATCTGTTAATCTTCTCACAATCCTATCAATTTCTCAAATAAGAATAGAATGTAAAGTTTATAAACTTTACTCTATTCCTAGCACCCAAATAAAAAAAAATTGTACTCCTTTTCATGATAAAATATTCAGAAAACCAATCCCAATTTTTATTTTTTTTGTTTTTGTTCTTGAACACGAGAAAACATCTTACTGTAATTTTCATTTCCTGTAACACATGTCATCACTGTTATTTAATACTTATTTTATATTTAAAAAATCTAAATTGTTAATTATTTTCAAAATTTTGGTTTTTGTTGAAAACGGAAATGACAGTATGGACTGAAATGGGACTAGAGAGGAAATCTTATCATGTGCTTGGGATTGAAAGTATGTCAAGGGAAGCTCGAGCACTATTAATTGCGAAATACAATGATTGAAGTAAATATTTGCTTAAGTTGTATTTATTTTATTTCATGTTTATAATATAAAGTTTTTGTACGCAAATAAATAATATAATTGATATAATATTTTTTTTCAAAATTTGCTTGAGTGTCTACACGTGAATTCAAAAGCAAAATTTTCTTATCAACCAATGCATAAACAATTGTCCCACAAAAAATTAGGGGAGGGGGAAGTATTTACATGGCATGCAATGCATGGAAGTGAGGCCATGATTTTTCATTCCTTGAAGTCATCTTTGTCATCAAGGGGAATTGGTCTGTTCCTCCAAAACACAGCAAGAGTACTCCCCCCAAGCTGCATGACAACAATCCTTTTACACCAAATGAACAAAACAAAACTATCTTAAGAGCAGCAAAAATATCCTATCTTACCGCCATGCATATAACACTAACAGCACAAGGAACAGCTACAAGGGGGTTTGAAAAGTGCTTCTGAGCAAGGAAAAGTCCAAGTACAGAACTCTGCAGATAAAATAAATAAACAAGGTTAGACAAAATGATCAGGCCAAAACATTACCTCAAGGAGTTTTTACCTTGATTTTGTAAAGGGATCTATGAAGCATATTACAAGTTTAAACATCAATTGAATCACTGATACTGATCAACCCTTTACCAGAAACACAATCAAAATGTCATCTTTCATTATTCATCTATTGATCTGATATCATTTCTTGTTCTCTTTTTAAGTACCATACTACTCAAGATCAAGAAAATTCACGCGTGTTTTGATGTCCATTTTCTGCAATTTTATAATAGCCAAAGTGGCAAACACAAAGAAATGCTACCGATGGGTTATTGGTATGAGGCCAAATCCATTCTATATAATCAAATTGTATCAAGAACAGAATCCTTTGAAAACTCATTTCTATACATTATGAATGAAAGTATTTCTGTATGCTAAGATGCCAACTCCAGTTGACATGATATATTTTTTAAAAAAGCAACACACATTTGGAAGAGTGGAATGATTCATAAATTTTTCTGAAGTGAGTAATATACTCAATCCACACTGAGGTATTGTGGAATGATGAACAGGCTCACCTGCATCCCACATTCTAGAGATATTGTGCGTGATATGGATTCGCCAAATGATATTCTTGAAACCCAATAACCAACAGCAAATGCAGCAGCATGTAGGAAAACAACTGGAAATATCAATTGTGCTCCTTGAGCTTTTAAGACATCAGCAACTAGTCCAATCTGAAAAGTTAATGCACGTCAAATTTCCATGCAGAGAAAGAATGACAAATAATATTTTACAATGAAGTAAACTGCTAGCTATCGGAATATAATGTTGGTAAACTTCATCTTCCAGAACTGGGTCAACTTACTGGGCTTGCGCAAAGGAGACAGGTCAAAATGACTCCTATCAAAGGTGTAAACATGGTTATCTTTGACGTGAACTTGGGAAAAAATTCATTTGCCAAAACTGCCAGATAAAGCAAAGATTTTAAAAATATCCATATCTTTAAGATTGAAACCATAGACCAAGTTGAGACACATCAACTGCCCATCCAACCAACAAACATATAACTTCATCTCTTACCTCCCACCATTGTTGGGACTAAAACAACCTGAAAGGTACTAAGTGCCAGGCCCTGCAAAAGAGAAAGAATAACAGCTTCATTCCACAAGTTAAAATAATAAATACAGCGACAGATGGCGTGAAAATCCCAGCAGAGACAGAATAACACTCAGAATGTCATGAAGAAAGACAGGGCATCTTATGTTCAAATATTCATTTGTTTCAGAGAAAGTATAACTTGTACTGTCAAGTATGGACTACACTTTATTTTCACAATAGCTTGCCAATAAGAAGCCAGTATCATATCACTTAAATGAATAGTTTTTTCAACATCCCTTTCACGCCATAAAAGAAGGCCACCCACAACTTACAACAACATCAACGGGAACAAGTTGACCAGCAAGAAGCTTTGTGAGGAGCGGGATCATAACAATAGCTCCAATAGTTGAACACCTGTAGAACAGTAAATAACATCTTTAAATATCTCTGAAACCTAATATCTGAAAACAATACTCTTAATCAACAACATTAATATAGACCAGATAACTTCACTGTTGCTATAAAATAATAAAATACTAAAAGTGATAAAGCCAAGTCAGGACACAACTGGAACCATGTCATGCATTTAGTAATTGCATATTGTACGCATATAATTAAGCCCTGCCAGTTTAAAGAGGATATTTACATTGCATTGTATTGGATTTAGAGATGTCAGCATGTAGGTTCTTCATATTTCTATTAGAAGCATACAGTACAATACCATAGAATTAAGTCTCAATTTTAAGTTACTTCATAATCAAATTGCTTTGGTTATGCCAACAATATAGGAAAAACTTTTGGCTTCTGGGTACTTTGTTCATAGGTATTTTCGATATCATGATTATTTTTCAAACTGCAGCCAAACAATTTCAAATTGTATTCTAACCTTGAACAGCCAAATTTAAACAATGCTATAGGGCTACAGCTAGATCAACATATGAATACAAATTCTTCCATTTCTTCTTTCAAGAAGCAAGAAGCACACATTCTCAAAGTAAATTTTTCAAGGACTACAAACTCAGTTTTTAGTGAACATGCAATGAAGCATATGATAATTTGCATCCATTAATTCTAGATTACTAATAGGATATCAATATTTAATCAATGAGGAACAGCTTTTACAACTCAAATGACAAAATTTATAGGTTGAAAGAGAGACAGGAGAAAAAACAATGTGTTTTACAAAAGCAAGCAGTAAGAACGAATAATAAATAAAGATTACAGAAATCACCAATATTTTTGAAAGCAACAGTAATTATGAGCAGAAATATAAAAACTTTAACCATGATCACCCAGGGGAGAAAATAGAACATAAAAAACATAGACAAACAAACAAGGGAATGCATGTTAAACATACATTGTTGTAAGAACTGAGAGTGCAACATTTCCTTTGGATATGAATGTTGCAACATTTGATGCCTGACCTCCAGGACAACATGAGACCAGAATAAGACCAGTTGCAAGAGGAGCCGAGAGTTTAAGAGTCTGAGAAACAAAGATAGATGTTAGAAGATTATACATGACATGTCACCAGCTAGTATAAGATAAATTACCAAACTTACAAACTTTTTGGATCTATTACAAAAAGCACATTGCTAATAGAGAATAACAACAAAATGACCAATAAATATGAGTGACAGAACTACTAGGCATAAAAATAGTGTCTCATTAACCAGTAACTGAAACAAAAAATCTATTGCAGATCCTAAAATTGGCTGCAATATATGAATAGTCATACTAAGTCCTACAACCACAATTATGGATAATACAAATGTTGTCACCAAGATTACCATTGATGTTATAGTTTAATAAGGATAATAAATTGAAACAAAATCCCTGTTATTCACATAAATAACAACAACCAAGCTTTATCCTACTAGGTAAAGTCAGCGACATGGATCACACGACGTTATTGAACTTAATAAAAATTCAATTTTTCAAGAATCTAGTTTATCAAAAAGTTTTTTTAAATAATTTTGTCTAACACTCTTTTAAGTCTTCTTTGACCCCTTTTTTATTGGACTTAAGTCATATAATCTACTTTCGATGCCTTCAAAGGTCTTCTCTACATGTAATCAAACTAATTTATACGAATTTTAGTCATTTTTTTAACTCCAATATTCTCTCGTATACTATTATTTCTTATCCTATCTTTTCTTGTGTATCCACTCATCTACCTTAACATTCTTATTTCTGTCTAAATTTTATGATAACACCTAAATTTCTTTAATTTTATCATAACACCTAAATTTAGCTGCCACTCCTAGCTAGGTTCTAAGACACTATTGTTTCCAAAGAAATTACATCTTATGGATTGAAAAGGGGAAAAGTAAAATTAAAGGTAAATAACTCTGCCATTCCAGTAGAGAGGTCGAAGGAACAACCTAGTCAATGCTATGAATGGCCATCCATTTTGCCTAAGGAAAGCAGAGGAAAATCCCTTAGCTTATCATTAGTGACAACAGAAATAAGGGATCAAAAAACCAACAAATGGCCAATATCATCATTTTCATTTTAAAAGAAAGATATTTTTAATTTCTTAGATTAATAAATCATAAATAAAAAAATAGTGAAAAACAGAGAATTTAATATAAATAATCTGAGTGCTAAATAATCAATCAATAATTACCATTGACAAAATCTCTTCAACAACAACATTATAAAGGTAATAAAAAAACAAAGAGGACACAGCACAACACAACACATTTCAAGAACTTATTTCAATGCAGCAAAGAGGTAAAGTGTCCGAATAATAACAAAAAATACCGTTGCAATGACAAAGCCTAGCACGGGTTTAATAAAATATTGCGCAAGTAACCCTACACCCACCTGCAAAAACCAAACAAATAATATTTAAAAGGAGGAAATAACAGATTTTTCTTTGAATATCAATAATTGTCCCTTACAGTCCAAGGATTTCGCATACATCGTCTGAAATCCTCAAATGTCAATGTCAAGCCCATAGACAGCATGAGGAAACCCAAGCCAAGAGTAAAAATATCTGTCCCCAACCAGGTTACCTGGAATAGAGCCATAACTTCACAGCAGTTAATCAACATGTTTCCACTCAACCTTGTAATTAGCTGGGAAAAACAGAGTAATTACAGCAGTTGGCTTGTAAATGCTGACAACAGCCCCCAAGATGACCTGCTCGTGTAAGTCAGTCAACTATCAAACTACTGACCAAATATGAAATTAAAAATTTCTGATTTACTACATTGAAGGAGAATTTCTAATACTTACCCAGACAGGAAATAGAGTGATTATGGTTTCAATAAGTTTTTCATACTGGCTCAGCCCCCCAGTATTTTCAGGAATATCTCCGGAAATATCTGTTGTAGCTTTGCACAATATTTGAGAACTCCTAAAATAGCAATAAACAAGTCATTAGCACTTTAAATCAAGAATAAGAAAGTCAATGTTCAAGCTACAGAAAACAGATCAAAAGATTTACCAATCAGTATCTAACCAAAAACAGGACAATCTATCAAGTTGGATGGTGTTTTCCATTATGTTTTTTCCTTTGTTTCACAAATTTTCCTTTTAAGTCACTAACGGGGAAGTGGACAATCCTGTCAAGCAGTTGACTTTTTCGCCTCCCCCTCTCCTACATGAAACAGGAGGAAAGGAATGTACTCAATCCATGAAGAGCATTTACTTGTAGCCCAGCAAAGAACCAAATCAGAACTTAGCAATCTTTGGTAGAGTTCAGGAAAGAATATTATCACTCTAGTGCATAATTTTTAAGCCTCAGGAGAATGTGCTTAAATTTCAGGTTAATAACTAGGTTTTAGAAAAAGAGAAATTACATAGCTTGTGGATGAGAAGAAACGACCCAACCCACTACATGCTGCTTATACAGTCATTAGCAAATTGTTGCTCCAACACTCATCAGTAAAAGTACTTTGTGGAAATGTTAAAGTGGGCTTGGGTTCCTCTTTCTTTATACAAGTATATACCATCTTTTTCATAGTAGTTGTAGCTGCATCACTCACTGTGAACTTTTAAGTAGAAAAAAATAAAATAAATCAGAAGGTCAAGATTTACCATCCTTTGTTTACATTAAGCTCTTGAACATTCCTCTATAAACTAATTTGTTCTGAAGTCTAGAAAATTACTGCTGCCATGCAATGTAAATAACTGACAAAACCAATGAAGAGTTGATGGGAAAAATGTTGACTATCTTGCTTAAAATAAAGCACAATAAATTGAAGGACCTTCAGTTTATTGTCTGTAACACATGAATTAAGGGTCTCAAACAATCAACATGACCCATGTCTTCATTTTTACCATAAGGAATCCAATGTACCTTCATGTTTATCATAAAAGGTATAATATACCTTCAATTACTCGAATATCATTCTCTGCTGAAAAGATGGATATCAATAAAAGCGTTTACCATAATGTTTCCCAATTGGTTACAATCGCCATTTGCTGCGATGTTTAGCCTTTTCCTTTTTCCCCCACCTTGTTCCTACTTTAAAAAAGAAGAATCAGCAACCTTTTGCCCAAGGTACAAATCTCTTGTAGCTAACTAGCCCAAACATGCATGTGCAAGAATAGATTAGGCAATCACAGAGGAGCTTAACAATCTGCCAAATTTCCTAAACTTGTGATCACAGAACTTCAACCATATAATAATGGCAAACAGAAGGTCCCCTAACTATTCCCAGATAATAGCTGTAAAGTTTTACACTTTTACAAATTACTTTATGTTTGAGATAACCAAGCAGGTTGTTAACTCTAAAACACGGGGGACCTACATATCTGGCTTAAATGGAAAGAATTAGAATTCCATTCCCTCAAATCCCTCCTCAAACGTCAATTATGAAAAATCAGACATTTCTTTAGGACATTCCATGACACCTCCATCTTCATGATTCTCCCCACTCTCAATAGCTTTTGCCATGTGCTACCAGTCCAATTGCTAGTAAACAATAATTCTTCAATCATGTGAACTCCATAAGCATATATGAATTTCCGACCTACCAAGATCAGAACTAGGATTCAAAAGATTACCTTTTTGACGTTTCAAGGATTAAGGAGCGTCTTCTAATTGCAACAATTGGAGCCTGCAACTCGCTTCGGATTTCACAGGCTCTTCCACTCTCAGCCAGATAAAGCCCACGTTTTAAGTCTATAAAGACAGCAACATGAATACAAAACTTATCAGAAAGTGAAGGAAAGAAACAACAGAAGCCATCTTCCAGAAGGAGAGAAACAAAACAAGCATACCCAGATGGTAATTGTGAAGGTTCATCCAAGTGGGAGTACGAAAGCTTGGGTTAAGCAGCGCATGGTACGCCCCTGGTCTATGGTCTCTGAGAATGATCAGAGACATGGAAGCCATGGATTGGATGCAACAGGATTCAGTCGAAAAGGGTTTTTAGAGTATACATAGATGGATTGTGTGTACTTTTGATATTCTAAGCTAGAAAACGAAGTAGCTGATTGGAACTTGCGTCTGAGATGAGAATGACAAGTTTGGTTGATTTGGATATCTGAGGATGTCGTGGAAATCTATGGATCACCATTCACCAACTCCCTTGCCTCATCCCTATCTTTCTCGAATATTTTACAGGCCAAGGTTGTGAGTCTTACCACTATAAAATATTTTTTTATAAAAAAATAATTTAATATTATAATAATAAATATTGAAATCTTTTTTTTTTATTATTATTATTATTATTATTATTTGGACCATATATATATAATTTTCTTAGAATGATTAATATTTTTTTAAAATGTACATAATACTTTTAAAGAAAAAATTTTCGGACACTGGTCAAATAAAAATTATTATTTATTAATTTATTATTACGTGTCTTTCAATCTATATGAAAACTGTATACATATGTATATGTAAAAATACTTAATCATAGATTTTATTTAAATGATTAATATTTTTAAAAACATACAAAATATTTTTAAGAAAAATTTGAGCCAGAGTTTAGGGCACAAGTCAAAGAAATAATGATAGTTTTTTTTAAAAATATATTATTAATTATTTTCATTTGTAATTTTAATGTATTTTAAATTAATTAATAACTAGCTACATTTTTATTTAAATAAGGACAACACACGATAAGAATATTAGTTTTGTAATCTTGATTTCTATGTTTCATTTTAAGTGTTTAAAAATATTTATTGTTTTTTTACATCCAATGTGATAAATATTTTTTAAATGTGTAAATTCAGCCTCAGATATTACAATTAACAAAATTATAAAGTATGTAATAAAATTTTACTAAAAATTAATTACTTTAATGCATGAATATTATTTAACATTACATTTTTTATAAAAAAAATATTTTTAAATTTTTTATTGGGTATCTTTAAATGCTCGTTTAAAGAATATTATTTAACGAGGGTATTCTGTGTGGTTTTAATGATTTTCAACTTTAATAATATAATTATGTGGTGAAAATATTTAAGGGTTGTTTGTTTAATTTAAAATCTTAAAATATATGGTTTACATTAACAAATACACATGTATTAATTATATTTAATGACTTAAAATTAAGTAATTAACTTTAAGATAAAGTAACACTTAGCTAGTTTAATTTGATGAATAACAAAAAGCCTTCAGGAAACGCTGAAACCATTTCCTTATTATTCTTAACAAGGGAAATTAACAGGTGATTGCTTAAAATGATGTAAGCATCTAATTCTTCTTAATTATTGAGTGTTAAAAAATATATAAATTTTTATATATAAAAAATTTAAACGTAGGAAAGAGAAAAGTCGCAAACAAAAGCTTATGCTGCTTAGGACAGTGGCCCCAGTTGCCCATCGTCAGCGAGAGACATACCCTAAGGTCGGGTCATTTTCTTGAGCCTCCTTTTACTTTCATTCCTGCTAGGGTTTCTGTTCATTGCCTTCTGTTACTTGTTTTTTTGTTATTTGAAGAATTTTTATTACAATACAATTCAATAAAGTAGGTGTTTCCTCTCTGGTACACTATTTTTTTGGTAGATTACTATTTTAATCATTTAATGATAAGCATTTAGTACTTTAGAAAACTTTTACTTAAAATTTTCATTTTGTAAAATGTTATTTATTTTAATTCACAGTGTTAATATAAAATACAATAATAAAAAATTAAGTGAACAATATTTTATAAAGTTGAAACTAGAATGAGAATTTTATAAAATTAATATCTAAACATACCATCTTAAAAACTAAAGAATTCGTTCATTAAAAAGTTTTTATATGACTTTCGTGTACTCTTACTTTTATCATTAATGCTTTTTTATATATACCTTTTTACCTCACTCTTAACGAAACAGTATGAATTATTCAACATTTCTAAAACAAAACATGAGAGCTTATTTGGTTCTACTTTAGTTTTTAATTTTTTTAAAATTATTTTAAAAAATTATGGTAATAAACAACTCAAATCTGCAAGCTTTATGTTTGTCTTATTTTCTAATATATAGCTCAAATCTAATTTATTTACATATTATGAGTTTTTTTAGGCTTTATTTAATATAGATCAGCCTCACATGTAGAATTGCAATATTACAAAAAAGTGCTTTAATGTGACAGTGTGTCAAAGTTGATTTGTCACCTTGAGGATGCATGCTCAAAAATGGAAGTCACAAGAATGTAGGACCCTTTTATCTAAATTATTATTAATCATGAATTGACGAAATACCCATCATTATGTCATCATTTTGGTTGCAGAGTTGGGCACAGAAGGGAGAATATTGTCTTTGTTTAAGTCATAATAATAATAATAAGAATAATGATATTTTATTTTATATTATATATTTATTAATTTATTTGAAGACTTACGAATGTTGACATATATAGACTTAAGTCTATTAGCCCACATTGAATTAGGTTTATTGGTCTATTTAATAAGTTTTATTACAAAATTAATTTTCACATTAAAATAGTGTTTTTTAAGGTGAGTTAAACCCTTAAAAAGATTTATGTCGAATCAATAATTGTGATTCAATTTAAATAAATTTATTAATAAATACTTATATGACATGAAATAATGAAAAAATAAATAAAACAAGCTTCTTTTAAAGTTAAAATTAATTTATATCAACCTCATATTTTGCAATGTTTTAATAAATTAAGTTCTTATTAAAAATTTGTCCAAATTAAACTTGTATAAATAATGATTTATTTGTTTCATTTTTCATAGATAAATCCAATATATGTTCATCTTCATGGTCATATTAATTTTTGTTGAATCGAGATCGTAATACTTTTTACAGGACAAAATGGTCTTTCTTTGCGTGAGGGCGACACCACATTTAATCAAATACGTACTTTTATGACCTTCGCAAGTTATCTATCAATCTTATTATACATTCAATAAATTTTACTTTAACTTAATAAAGCATACTTTTTAAAGCAATCTTAAACATTTAACAGGTTATATTTAATAGACAATTATCATTGTTACTAAACTGGGTGGACACAGTCAGTCTGTAGTTTTTTTCCATACAATAAATTTACTTAAAAAATCATTTATCAACATTTTAATGCTAACCTAACTTTTGTTAGTATATGCATTTATTCTAACAAAAATTAAACTACTAGTCTAAATAACTTTAGTTTACATCAATTAATACAATATAATATAATTTTAAAAAATCAAATTTATTGTGTACTCTAATTTTGATTGATAATTATTTTTTTGTATTAATAGTGTATAAAAAATAAACTCAATATATATGTTTATTAATAAATAAATTTTTAATAAAAATAAACATATGTAATATCAGTAAATCAAATATTAGTATAATATATTATTTGAAAATATAATATAAACCTTTAAGGTTTATAATAACAATTTTTTAGACAAAAATTACACTAACAAATGTTATCTTAACAGTTGACATTTTATTTATTTATTAGTAAATATTTTTTTTTTGTTGTAGGATTTTTTTTATCACAACACTCTCTTTTATTTTAATTAAAATCACCTATTTCTATTTTGCACCTCATTTGTCTGCTTAATTAAATAATACCACGTAATTAAAAAATAACTTATTGTTTTTTCTTTTCTTTTCTTTCTTTCTTTCTTTCTTTCTTTTTTTTGCTAAAGTTGAAACAAAAAGGTGAGCACAATTATTCGATTGGTTTATTGTTCTTCTTATTTTTTGTTTAATAGACTGTATTACATTAAAACTGTATAGAATTATCTCAAAATGTACAGACAAGTATATTGAGCATATCGCATAAACAGTCATTTATTGATCAACGAGTGTTACACATCTGGTGACACAAAGGCTGAATTAACAACTCAAGAGTGATCCATTGTTGCACTTGGCCGGTTCCTTTCTTCCCTTCAAAGCAACGATTATAGGCCCAGTTGCTATCAACAACCAAAATAATCAGCATTTCCAACCCTCTATAGGGTCCTGGCGTCCCTACATATGCTATGCACTACACACATATATGACTCAACTTGGCCACAATCATGAAGACGCCATGAACAACACTGTGTTGATTCTTTGTTTCTCTTCTTTACTTCTTTTCTACCCCATGCACTCCTCATCAATTCTCGTGCCTTGCCTTATGGCCAAGGCTAAGCTAAGATTCCAATCGCCTATACAATCTATACACGTAGATGCTAAAATATGGTATTATATTTACACCACCGCCACCCATGAAATGGGACGATCACTATCACAAATTGGGTTAACATAGCCTTTAAGTGACAAAACTCTATCAATATATAGTATCCCTTAAGAGCATGGTAGAGAAGATCGATTTTTAATTATATGTATAATTTTTTTTAAAAAGAAGTAAAATCTATTTTAATAGTTTATATTGTGTTTTCAAGAAACTAGTCAGTCTCTAACTTTTGATTGACTGAGGCATATCATTGGTATAAAAAGGAAAAAAAACTTCTATAAGTATCGTGTTGATTCTTGTCATATTTTCATGTGACCCATACGAGTTATTTGGAAGTGAGTGAGGGGCCATTCCATGGGGAAATTATTTCTTCTCTTCCTACTAATTAAGGGCAGTGCTCTAGAAGATTTCCCCATGATATTGTTTGTCACGTGCAAAATTAGCACACATGAAAACAAGAGATAATAATATGGTGTGGCATATGGCTATTGGATGGAAACACAAGATGAAGATCTGATGTGCTGGTTGATGACTTGGACTAGGTCCACTAATATTCCATTTGCCGGCATCATTAACCTAATTTGCTTCCATTTGCTTACAGTGATCAATTCCAATTGTTTTGGTATTTAGTGTATTAGTTGTTCTCTTAAAAAAGGAGAGGAGAAGGCTACATTGGGTTATGGCTTTGAAACCCCACCTTTGGTTAAATATGCAAGGGAAGATAAGGTTTTTATAAAGGTTTGAACACCTAATGTCTTGAATTATTGCCATCCTGATTAATTGAAGGCGCTTTTGGTGCCAATTGAGTTGAACTGTCTATCTGACTTTTCCTCATAACAGCCACGTAAAAGCAGACAGCCAAAACATAAATCGAAAAATTAGAGAAAAATTCAGAGGCACCAAATTAATAAATTTGCTGTCCTAAACTATATTTTTAAAGAAAATTACTTTTATTATTTATGCCTTCGTAAACAGTTTTCAAGTACAAAAGAATGTAATAAATTAGTTCTGTTTTTTTCAATGATATATTTTAAAAAAATTTATAGTAGTGTTATACTATATTTTGTTTTGAAGATTAAATGGAACATGATAAAGTTTTCAACGAGAACGATTATTTTTCAATATCAGAATACAATTATTGAAAGATTGCTTGGATTGTCTGTCAAAAATTAATGTAAGAGAAGACTTTGCAAGTTCTTTTTGTTTGACTTGTCACTACGCAATAACAGTAAATTAATTAGGCAAATATTATTTTATAATTTTGAATGATAATTTTATTTAATTATTTAACTAATGTTCTTAAAATACTAGTTAATAAAATCTAATTAATTATGTAGAATAAGATGAATATTTTAATTCTTAAAATTTTAAATTTTCTTTTAATTTTAGAAATGATTGTATGTAATTAAAAGTAATATTTTTATTATAAAATAAAAAATTAATTACGTTAAAAATATAAATTAAAAATATTATTTTTAGATATTTAAAATTAACATTAATAATTGATATTAAAAATAAATTTTAAAATCAAATTAAAGTACACTCTTTCCAAACTAATTAACCTTAAAATAATTTTATTTTTAAAAAATGTATATGTGATTATTAATTTTTTATTTTTAAATTTATGTATATATTGTTTTTAACTTTAGATTATTCTTCATTTAAAATATATTTATTTTTTTAACATCAATTATTGATTTTAATTTTAAATATTTAAAAATAATAAGTTATTATCAAAATATTTATTATATCTTTAATGGAGATGGATTTAAAGACATTTAAAATGAGAGTATAAATAGTTAGTATTTTTAAAATAAGGTAAAAAGGTAATTAATTCAAAATTATTAATAATTAAAATTAATAATACATGATATTAATTTTAGTTTATATACTTTGTCATTTGAATTATATATAAAAATATACATCATGTTAATTAACATAAGATTGTTATCTAGTGATAATTACAATATTTATTAATAGATTTTGGTATAAAATGATCTCAATATTTTTATATTAAATTTGTTAAAAGATATAAAATAAAACCACATTTAAGAATTCTATTAACTTTATAACTGATTTAAATTATTTAAAATTTGTAAAAATATATTATATTTAAATTTATGAATATAATAAAAATTGTTGTATTTATTTAAAAATTTAAACTCAAAAATTAAATTAATTTTTTTCTACTTTTAAATATAAAATTGATAAAAGATAGAAGTGATCATTTGGGTGCTCTATAAAGACACAAACAAGACAAACTTACAACCCTTTTAACCACCGTCATTATATTTTATTGGTACACGCTGTGTTTTCATTTTTATTCATCGTTGAACTGTACGTCATCATGCATTAAATGGACACTTCACACGTTACATGTCACAAGGACATTGGCTTTTTATACTTTATCGAGAAAAATAGAAAAACCCTATAGACATAACACTAATTATTTGTATAATCGAAAATTACGAGAAATAATCTAAAACCAAATAAATAAGGTGTGTAAAAATATAAAAAAAAATAGTATTTATTTTGATTTATTTTATTATTATTTCAAAATTATATATAAATTAGTTAAAAATTTATTTCTAAATTATGACCTTTTTTTATTCAAATTTTCACTTTTGACAAATTGTTCAATTTTTCTTTAATTTATTTTAATTTTATAAAATGTTCTTTCACTCCAGTGATCTTTCTCCTTTGAAAAACAAATGTTTTTAGTTGAGAAATATCCCATACACACTAAGAGACTTAGAGCATGTTTATTTTTATTTTTTTTTAAAGTTATGATTTTTTAAATAAAAATAAACTTATTTTTATTGTTTTTTTTAAAAACTTTAAACAACCATCGTGTGGCCACAAACATAAAAATATGACAGAACAATAATATCATGAAAACTCGTTAAAATTTTAGAAAAAATAAAATAAAAACGATATTTTCTCCAACCTTGTGTCAGGGATTGACATCTTCTATAGTTATATTTTCAACTGCACAAACCCTAACCTTTCAAGGTGTCTCCTTATTTCTTCTTCGCTGGTTTGCCTTTGCAGCGACTTAAATGATGAAAATATTTCATACCTTTGAATTTTTCTCTCAAATTAATAGAAAATGGATCGTTCACGTACCCTTCAAAAACAATCTAGCACGACTAGGAGATAGACTTCTTTGCAGTTGTAGTGTTCTTCTGATATTTTCTTAGAATGTTTTTCTCCCAACTATTATGCAGCTTGGAACACCCATTAATCCTCATTGTCAATGTTTCTGGGGACAGATTGATTGACGTTAGTAGAAAAATCTTTAATAACATTTTGCAAGATATAGAAATGCTCTTGAATAAATAACTTAGTTTTTTTTTTTAGGACTAATATATATATTTTAATCATTTTTACATATTTCCGTAGTCATGAATAAATATTATAAAACTTATTTATTTCTATAATGAAAAAGTTGATGATAAACACACACAAAAAGCACATTTAAAATTTTAATATTTTTTAAATAAATATATATCTCTGTAAACAAATAACTCTACATATTACTATGTAGAAGTCATTTTTTTAGCAAACATACTAAAACATATTACCATATAAATTATCACAATTATTATATACAGTTGGTTATTTAAGAAAAATATCTTTTTTAAATCAATGTAATTATATTAAAAATATATATATATCCTTTGGTATGAAAGCATCTTAATGACAAGATTTATGCTTCAATATCCTTTGGTAAGTTACCAGAACTATATTTGAAGTTTCGTTTTTCTCCCAACCTCACACAACACCATTAATTTATCATTAATATACATTTAAAATGTGACACACTCAGTACAGAAAATTTAGTTATACAAAAACATTCATTAATAAGTTTACCGTAAAGATTTGAACGTGTAAAGGAGCATGTTAAGCCAACGACGAACACATGAAGTTATTTAATTACTACAATGTGGAGAATACTTATGTCTTGGCACTTAGTAGATAAGGAGTTGTGCAATATCTACAGTGTTTAATTATTATTAGATATTTATTTCACGCAGTACAATTCTTATTTATAAACGAGTCAAGTGAAATGTTTTTAAATTACAAACTACAAAACATGGATATCCTGTTAGTTTTAAATCTACATTTTAAAGACGTGATATAAATTATTAATAGATTTAATATTATTAATAAAAAGATATGTATTATCAAGTTTTGTAAAATAGTTAAAAGTTAGAGGCAAGAAATTTTAAAATAATTTTTAAAAAATTAGAATATTTAATGTTATTAGATGATAATGAAACATGAATTATAAGCTTGATAATAGAAAAATTAATGGTAAACAGGCTATTTAATAGGACCGTATTGTTCTGAAATTATTGTGGTCAAATGAAGCTTAGAGTGGGAGTGTCGATTTCATTCGTGATGCCAATAAATTACTTGTATAAAAAAATGCCGTCCGTTTCAGCAAGTCAAAACTCAACGCTCGAAACAAAGGTATCTGACCAGTATTAAGAGGTCATACAATTACATACATTATTATTACAGAAGCCAATTCCACAAAGCAACACATACCTTTTCAAGGACCCAAACCGTCTCATGAAACAGGCCCACATTTTGGTCATTCAACCTAGTGTTCCTACAAGCCCCTTGGTTAAACTTTTAACTAAACCATTACAAAATCTCATCTTACATTACATGTGCCACTAACCTATAGCATAGCAGCGACAAAACACCCCCTTTGTTTTATTTTGTCCTTTCGTTTTGCCTCTTTGGCACACCAATACTAAAGAAAAAAGGGATTAAAGCAGTTGTTACCTCGTTTGAATGCGACATTTGTTTTGAAGCCGGTCACAGTAGGAATTTTCCTTTCTTCTCTTTTTCTCAACCCGTCATAATAACGGATATTGCTGAAGAAAATAGATTAAAAAAAAGTGAAAATTTGTGCAGGACATATATTTACACCAATTTATTTTCTTTTAATTACACGTAAGAGAAAAGCGCGTGGGATATAATGGCATCGGTTAAAAACAGTGGTGTAGTAAAAACAAATGACTAGGATAGGAGAGTTAAACTAAAAACTTAAGGAGTTTTAGGAGCAGTGCCGGCGAGAGTGGTTTCAGTTTCAGCTTTTATTTTAGTTTTATTTATTTTATTATTTTCACTTTTGAGACCTCGTGACAGTGGGATACCTTCTCTCTTACAAAGCCTCTCTACTCTCTGTGTCTTTCCTTTCTCAAACTCCACTCACACAATTCCCACCACTCCTTTTCTTATGGCATTTCGCCGGATAATCGCAACCACATTCTTCTATCTCCTTCGTTAATTTCGATTCCCTACACACACACTCAATGGCGCTCGCGCTGGTTATTCTTATCTTCCTCCTTCAACTCGGTCTCAGTGCCCGAGTCAACTCGGAACCCACTCAGGACAAGCAAGCCCTCCTTGCTTTTCTATCCAAAACCCCACACTCTAACCGTCTCCAATGGAACGCTTCCGATTCCGCTTGCAACTGGGTCGGTGTTCAATGCGACGCTTCGCGTTCCTTTGTCTTTTCGCTCCGTTTACCCGCTGTTGGCCTCGTGGGTCGGGTCCCACCCGACACAATTGGCCGTCTTTCTCAGCTTCGGGTACTTAGTCTCCGTTCCAATGGCCTCACCGGCGAGATCCCTTCCGATTTCTCCAACTTGACCTTCCTTCGCAGCCTTTACCTCCAGAAGAACGAGCTCTCCGGCGAGTTTCCTCCGAGTCTGACTCGTCTCTCTCGTTTGACTCGCTTGGATCTCTCCTCCAACAACTTCTCCGGTTCCATCCCTTTCTCCGTCAACAACTTGACACACCTCACCGGTCTCTTCCTGGAGAACAACACCTTCTCCGGGAAAATCCCAAGCATCACTGCCAAATTGAATAGCTTCAACGTTTCCAACAATCGCCTGAACGGTTCCATCCCGGAAACGCTGTCGGGGTTCCCCGAATCCTCATTCGCCGGAAATTTAGATCTCTGCGGACCCCCGTTGAAACCGTGCACTCCGTTTTTTCCGGCGCCGGCGCCGTCGCCGTCGTCCAATGCGCCGGCAAACCCTGCGAGAAAGAAGTCCAAGAAGCTCTCCACTGGCGCCATTATTGCAATCGTGGTTGGGTCTGTTCTGGCTGCGTTGCTGCTGTTACTGATTCTGCTTCTCTGCTTACGGAGGCGACAACGGCGGCAACCGGCGAAGCCCCCGAAGCCGGTGGCGGCGGCGCGTGCTGTGCCGGCGGAAGCGGGAACGTCGTCGTCGAAGGACGATATAACGGGGGGTTCGGCGGAGGCGGAGAGGAACAAGTTGGTGTTCTTCGAAGGGGGAATATACAGTTTCGATTTGGAGGATTTGTTAAGGGCTTCGGCGGAGGTGTTGGGGAAGGGTAGCGTTGGGACTTCGTATAAGGCGGTGTTGGAGGAAGGGACGACGGTGGTGGTGAAGAGGTTGAAGGATGTTGTGGTGACTAAGAAAGAGTTCGAGATGCAAATGGAGGTTCTGGGTAAGATTAAGCACGAGAATGTGGTTCCCCTCAGAGCCTTTTACTTCTCCAAGGACGAGAAATTGCTCGTTTACGATTACTTGTCTGCTGGTAGCTTGTCTGCTCTGCTTCACGGTACGATGTTGTTAGCATTTTTCAATTCTCTGGTTCTTTTTCTGTTGATTAATTCTTTTAATTATCTGAATAGTTAGTTGTTCATGCAATTCGATTGTGCTAGTTACACTAGTGATTAATAGTCTAAGCCGAATGATTTAAAAATTTCGGAATTTTACTTTTGCTCTTTTTAGGGAATGGGGTTGCCTTTCCAGCACTTTTTTTTTTATGTTCACACGGGAAAATGTTTTATTTGAAATTTTGGATGGAATTGGCATTGTTTATTTCTGTATTTTTGACTGAATTCCTGCTCCAGCTGTTTTAGTCGTGGAAATTAGATTATTTTAATTTAGTGGCTGGGAATATTTTAATATCTTTGTTATTATTGTGGAATGTGTGCTTAGCGTAGCGTTTGTGTGGGCAGTGGGATGCTTTCTAAGTTGATAATGGAGGTGGGTAGTCTGTGTTTTACTGTGTCATTAGTGGCATCGTGTTGATTATTGATACTAAGTATTAAATAATGAATTTGGGAAGGATTGTTTAATAGGAAGAGAGAATCGTAAGTGTAAAGGTTGTGAAGCAGCGTAGAGTGCGCTGTTGGGCTTGCTTAAAACATGCTTCTGGAACAAACATTCTCAACTCATGAGTGAGGGTGTCTTTCTTTAATTTGCCGTTCCCGCATTCTCTTCAACCCAAACAACATGCACTCATGATACACCAGCGTGGTCTCACCGACATTATATATCTCCCTTTTTTATTTTTTTTTTAACTCATAAAAGAAAGTGCATAATATTGATTCCTTCCCTTACCAAAAAGCCATTTGGATCGCGGGAGTGTGATTTCTTTCTTTCGAGTCTTGAAATAAAGATTGACATATGTATTGTAATGAAAAGGAGGAGGGCATGGGAGGATAAAGAGAGAAGGTTTAATGGAGATGATTAATGTTGGATGATACATAGGTAGGGAAGGGAATTGCACATGTGACAAATACTTGACTACATTGGTAATGTTAATACAGGGAGCAGAGGGTCTGGGCGAACGCCACTAGACTGGGACAGCCGGATGAGAATAGCACTAGGAGCCGCAAGAGGGCTAGCATGCCTCCACGTGTCAGGCAAGGTGGTCCACGGCAACATCAAATCCTCCAACATCCTCCTCCGAGGACCAGACCATGATGCCTCAGTTTCCGACTTTGGCCTCAATCCCTTGTTCGGAAACGGAGCCCCATCCAACCGGGTGGCGGGTTATCGGGCGCCCGAAGTCCTAGAAACCCGCAAAGTGAGCTTCAAATCCGACGTGTACAGCTTCGGTGTGTTGCTCTTGGAGCTACTAACGGGGAAAGCACCCAACCAAGCTTCTCTTGGGGAAGAGGGTATCGATCTTCCGAGGTGGGTGCAGTCGGTGGTACGCGAAGAGTGGACCGCGGAGGTGTTCGATGCTGAGCTGATGAGGCTGCATAACATCGAGGACGAGATGGTTCAGCTGTTGCAAATTGCGATGGCTTGTGTTTCGGTGGTCCCTGATCAGAGGCCTAACATGCCGGACGTGGTGCGTATGATTGAGGACGTGAACCGAGGCGAGACCGATGACGGGTTGCGACAGTCTTCCGATGATCCTTCGAAAGGATCCGAGGGTCATACGCCACCCCCCGAGTCAAGGACTCCACCTAGGTCCCGCACACCTTAACAAAAGCCTTTATTGTTGAAATTCAAAAAAGAGAAAAAAGAGGAAAGGACAAGACAAGGTGGTGGGTCGCTCTTAAAAATATGTGAATTATGGCGCGCTCTTTCTTCCTTCATTGGGTTCCAGTGTGGCCCTGTTCTTTTTTCTTTCGCTCATGCATTTTATTTCATTTTTTCTTTTTTTCTTTTATTAATTTCAATGATTTTTACAGGTGGGAGTTTGAAAATTGTCCATGAAGTGAAAAAGGGGGGGAGTTCCATTCCATGAACCGATTGAGATTGACCATTTCATGATATTTAATTGCCATTTTCCTCATTTCCTAACGTTAATTCTTTATAATTGTTAGTATTTTTTGGTCCAAAATTGAGCTTATCTCTCCATTTCGTCTTGATACAATTGTCGTACCTCGCCAATGCTATGTCAGCATGTGCATATATTTCTTTTTAATCCAAAGCGGACCAGTTGTTGGGAAATCATTGCAAAAACTGTGTAATCATCCACCACGTCACTCGTTCTCTGATTACGCAGGTACCAATTTACCAAACCAACTTTTGATCAATTAGCATTGACCTAAAGTGAAGAGGCACGCGCGCTTCTCCTTACGGTGGTGCGAGTGTGGTCCGTATTCACGTGTTTGTAACTCACATGTGCACCGGGAGTGGTGGGAAATTTTCTCCTAATTACATAATTGCCCTTGATGTTGTGTGTCCATTTGTGAGGAAACGGGTGGAAAACAGGCTGGCTGGACTTTTCTGACAAATAAAGAGCGTTTGACCCAACCATAGCGTCTGAGCCGTTGATGCATTGGACTATGGACCCCTCAAATTAATCTAATCTCACGGCTACAACGCCACTGTCCCCGTTTCGTCTCCGAATCACGTACCCACCCCATGCGGGTCTCATACGTACAATGTGTCCCCGTATTAGGATTAGTCTCAAACTAACGGACAGAGGCAAAGGCATTTCATTTTAATGTTAATTAAGGTGCGTTTTAAGTGAGGTGTTACTGTGGATTTAAGAACAAACTGTTATCGTTGTCCCTTGTTGAGTTATGTGATTCCACGACATGTAGGGAGCCCTAAGGCCACTGCACGCACTAATGCCTCTCAATTTCTTCTGTTGCTTTCCGTTCAGATTAAGACCTAGCAGTTGACACGTGGAAATAAACTGCCCAGGGTCCTAATTGTCGTTATTTGGATCTGTAAATAAAGACAATTTATATAAATACAATTACTGTATTATACATACACTATTTTAACGGCGAGCAGAGTTATATGTTATAAATGGATTTAATGATGTTATTTTTCTGTTATAGATATATGACAATTGCTAACCAGCATGTTAAGGTATTACTTTATGCAAATTCTTTATTAATTTCTGAATTTAAGAATACTATATTTTTTTTGGTAAAATATAATTGTTGATTCCAAGGTAAAATATACTTTAGTCTTTTATAAATATAATTAAGTTTTATTTTTTAAATTTTTTTGCCGATTTTAATCTTCATAAATTTAAATTATAAAAAAGATTTCTATAATTGTTAATTAATGATATGACATATTATGTGATATGTTATTTTAACACGATTACAACTATAACAAGCTTAAATGTATGTTATGTTATTAGAGTATGAAATACAAGTGAGTTTATACGTTGTTTTCGTTTAAAATGAATAAAATTCACAATATACTTAGCAGTAAATGTACCCACTTGAATACTTTAAAATCTTTCTATTAAAGGAGATGTTACATACATTAACGAGTTACTTTATTGGAGTGGTTCTTGGATTATCGACATGGGTCTTATGCGTCCCATAAATGTATGTATATATTCGTATTAAAAAATATCCTACCTTATTTTTCACATGCCTCCTCGGTGAAAGCACAGTTTGGTACACCGAAAGACAACATTAGCAAGGGTTTGGTCGGACGCAAAAGTGACTGTTCCTTTGAATTTCGTATTGCGATGCGTTCAGATGACTAGTTGGTTGTAACTCTCTGACTCTGCTCGAAAGAGCTTCAATCATATGCTTAAAATCTGATGTGGTGAATAACAAGGCTTGTTCAAGCAAACAAATGAATGAAAAATATTAAATGCACCATCTCCTCCTTTGACAAACAAGTGTCGATGTGTGATAGATATTAGGCAAGCGTGGTAAAGGTGAGCCCTAGTGTATCAAAAAATGGACTAGTGAATGAGATTCCAATGGATATAGTTAATTAATTATGCATCGTTATTACCTCATTCTATACGGTGTGATGATGCTACCGATCTATATTGTTCATGTGGCTGTGGACAATATATTGTTGTTTATTTTTAAGGGGTGTCATAACTCTATAACATGATGAGAAAGTACTAGCTTGCTCATTTTTTTTCAAAATAAGAAAATGTTTGTTAATCACCATATACCCAAAAAATTCTAAAATATAATAAACGGTGTATTATAATAAAAAAGTAAAAATATTAAATAAACATTGACATTAACAAATTGAAAACTTTTAAATATTGAGTTAATTTTATAATATTATTGTATATTTTATGATTTATTATTATTAAAAATCGATTACCCAACTGCTTAAAATTGAATTAAATTAAATTAAATTATAGTTTTAAACCAAATTAGCAGAGTTGTTAAATTTAAAAAAAAAATCAAAATAAAGGAACGCAATTTGTAAAGCATGGCTTTGAGATGAATCATATATGCCCAAGAATTCAATTTATTACAATTTTTTTAGGTTTATTAAATGAATAAATTTTATAACTTTTCGAACGCATTACTAAAAGGTTATTATTTATATTAGCTTATATCATTTTAAAATTTCATTAAACCTATCATTAAATGTATTTAATTAACTTTTATGGATTGTGATGAATTAGCTAGGCAGATGAAGAAAATGACATGCCAAATGGTTTATCATGCAATAGAAATGTGACAGCTTAGGAAAGGAGTGTTTTCAAAATGATTAGTGACATTGAAAAAGCTTGTGATGCAACAAACAGTGTTATATATACGTTAAAGAAGCACTGCCGTCTTTGGCTGCTTATTCATATTCTCTAATGCTATTATTTTGCGGTTTATACAAGAAAAAGTATGTCCATATCATAATAAAGTAAGACTCTATGCCTCGAGAATTTAGATTCTATATAAAGCAAAAGCCATCTGGTATGGTGGTTATGGGAGCTTGCCAAGTGCCAAACACAACATTGGATGCACCCTTGATTGTGATTTACTTATTTAATTTCCATGCAAAAGTACTACTTTAACTACGCAACTCGTATGAGTAAAACATTGTGTGTAAAGTCATTTCACGTAATTTCCTCCCAATTGCTGTTTTTGTCGGTTTCAGAGTCAAGATGCGCTTTTACTTTTAGAAACTCGTACGGTTCATTTTGCCTTTGGGGTGACCAATGGTAAGGTGCAAACCTTTTTTTTGTTTTTTGTTTTACCTTATGTGGCCTTGTTGATAGTAGAGGATTAATTCTAAGCAATTCCTTTGATTTCGAATGTACGTCATTAATTATAAATATGATATATTGCTTCTTTCTTCTTTTTTTAAACCATGTCCAACAATTTCAGTGCACTAAATTCCAAATTTACGTTATACTTGCCATATGTTTTAACAAAATACATTTCAGTTTTTTCATGAATGTAAATGGTAAACATATTAAAGTTGGAGAAAATTAATTTGGATTAATAGGAAGCTGGACTAAACTTATAATTCTGTTTAGTAGTTTGTTATTTTGTTAATTATTACTTAACCATATTCTGGTAGGATCTTAGGACTTAGTATTATATATAGGTTATTCTTGTTTTTGTTTGTACTAAGTTTTTTATTCAACAAATAAAGTATTTTTTAGTTTCTTCTTCTTCTCTCTTCTCTCTAACATGGTATCAAGAGTCTTATTGTGACCATGACTTCTGCTTCTGCTCAAAAATCTCTCGTCCAAACTTTCTTCACTCCTATTCTCTAGAGTCTTAATGAAGACAACTATCTCACATGGAAACATGAAGTTGAATCTACCATCAAGGGATACAGATATAAGAAATTCATTCATGAAGATGCATCAATCCCTCCCAAATACGATTCTATAAAGCATAAGGTCAAAGATAAAGTGAGTGAAGCTTTTGAAAATTATGAGCAACAAGATGCTCTTCTCAAATCATGGCTTCTTGAATCCATGGAAGCAGAATTCAAGATTTGAATGGTAGGTTGTGAGTGGAGCTATTAGATTTGAAAAACCCTTGATACTTATTTAACTTCCCAAACGCGTGCTCGGATCATGCAACTCAAGATTCAGTTGTGATCTATTAAGAAAATGTCCTCGATCACTCTGTATCTTCTAGAAATCAAAAAGGTTGTAGATACCCTTGCAGTAATTAGTGCTCCTTTGAGTGTTGAAGAACATTTTGATGCAATTGTCGATGAGCTTCCTAATGAATATGATGGCTTTGTCACTTCTATTCTATCTCAAAAAATCCTTACACCATTAAAGAAATAAAGGCTCTGCTAATGGCTCAAGAAGACAGATTAGAATCGCGAAAGAAAGTTGATGGCACCAACATGCAAGCCAATCTTGCACATGGAAATCACTCAAATAACCATGGTCGTGGTAACAATCAAGGTCGAGGTGAAAGATTTCAAAGTCGTGGCCATGCTCGAGGAGGTAGATTTCAACATACTGGTGGAAGGAACAACAAAATTCAATGGCAACTGTGTGGCAAAATAGGCCACTCAGCTTATAATTGTTGGCACAGGTATGATAAAAAATTACTTGATCCAAATCAAAACTTAAATACATTTGTTTCTTAGAATATAAGTCAAAATTTGGTTGTTATGCAAGCCATGAATACTTTGGCCTAACACTTCCTCTATGATGATAGTTGGTATCCTGACTTAGGAGCCACTAATCATCTAACTCCTAATGTCAATAATTTTCAATAACGAACTGAGTATTCTGGCTCCGAGAAGATACATATGGGTAATGGCTCAGGTATAGGTATTTCTAATATTGGTACTTCTTATATTCAGTCAGATATTACTGATCAAAATCCTATCTTGAAAAATCTCTTGCATGCGCCTTTAATTATAAAGAATTTATTAAGTGTTTCTCAGTTTGCTCGGGAAAATAATAATTTCTTTGAGTTTCACCCGGACACTTGTCTTGTTAAATCTCAGGAAACCAAGACTACTCTTCTTCAAGGGAGACTTAGCAATGGTTTATATGAATTTTAGCATGTTAAACTTGCCAATCCTTCAACATGCTTCTCTACAAAGTCACATGGTTTAGCTTCTAGTAATAGGCCCGTAAATAATTCTGAAATTCTTCCTATACAATCTTGTGTTTTTAATGTTGAAAATAGAGGTACTGTGTTTGATGTTTGGCATGGTAGACTTGCTCATGCTTCGAATAAGATTTGTGCTTATGTCATAAGATAGTGTAATATCCCTATAAAAAATCTCAATAAAACAAATATTACATGTATTTCTTGTTGTATTGGTAAGTCTTATGTTTTTCCCTTTCTTAATTCTTCCACTGATTATACGACTCCTCTTGATCTTATTTATACTGATGTTTGGGGTCCCTCACCTTTACCTTCTAGACTAGGATATAAATACTATGTAAACTTTATTGATGCTTACTCTAAGTTCACATGGCTCTACTTTATGCATAATAAATATAAAGTTTTTACACACTTTAAACATTTCAAAACTCTTGTTAAAAATTAATTTCAAAGAAAGTTTAAGAGTATGACAACACTGTATGTAGACTTCACAAAGCTCTTTATGGTCTGAAACAAGCACCACGTGCTTGATTTCAAAAGCTTGGCTAAACTCTCCATAGACTTGGCTTCAAGGAAACCAGAAGTGACACCTTTCTTTTCACTCTTTGAAGAGAATCAAAGAGGACCTATTGAAGACAAAGACTTGAAAGCATTGGGAGGACTTCAAGGGCCAATGACAAGGACAAGAGTAAAAAAATTAAATAGAGATTTAGAAAAGATTGTTGCTGTCTTATTTGAAAGGGAACTCAATTTA